CATAGCCATTTAAAAGAGCCAAAGCAAATGCACGAAAAGTAAGAAGGCAGAGCCAGAGGGAATTCCTGGATTTCATATGTGTCGTCAATAACATCCTCTACGCCTAGTAAGCGGGTTTGGGAAAGAGTTCGAAAAGCATGCGGAATATATAAAGACCACTCACTTTCCTTTTTGGAAAAAGATGGCCGAGTGATTAGCTCCATAGAAGAAATTGCAAATACTATTGGTGAGACATTTGCTGCCGTTTCTTCCAGCAGAAACTATTCACCTGCATTTCTTCTCTATCAAGCAGCGCTCTGAAATAAATCCCATCGCTTTCAACTCTTCCAAATCTGAGCCTTACAATAGAGATTTTACTATGCTTGAATTAAAGGAGAGCTTTGTTGCAGACACATAGGTCTTCTCCGGGTCCTGATGGCGTGAATTACGAAATGCTAAGCATCTGTCCTATAAGTCACTGACTGCCATTCTCACTCTTTACAATAGAGTGTGGAAGGAGCGTACTTTTCCCAGTGCATGGAGGAGAGCTGTTGTCATTCCTATTGCTAAGCCAGGGAAAGACCCAAGGAATCCCTCCAACAATCGGCCAATTGCCCTTACGAGTTGCCTCTGCAAACTGTTTGAAAAGATGGTAAACAGCCGCCTAGTCTACTTCTTGGAAAAAAATAATATTATATCGCCTTATCAAGAGCGGTTTTCGAAAGGGAAGAACAACCGTAGATAACATGCTCCTCTTAGAGACATCTATTCGAAAAGCTTTTGTAAGAAGAAGTCACCTTGTCTCAATATTCTTTGACATTGATATAGAGAAAGCTTATGATAAGGCATGGAGATACGGTATACTTCGGGATCTTCACGAGAGTGGCTTGCGCGGCAACCTACCAATTTTCATTCAGAATTTCTTGAACCCTAGAACTTTTCAAGTAAGAATTGGCTCTGTTTTGTCAGATGTTTTTGAACAGGAAGAGGGTGTGCCTCAAGGCTGTGTGCTTAGTGTAACCCTGTTTAGTTTAAAAATAAACTCTGTATTAAAAGAACTTCCTCCCACCATCTTGGGATCTCTATATGTTGATGATCTGCAGATTAGCTGTCGAGGGGCAGACATGAGATATGTAGAGAGGCAACTGCAGATGGCTCTGAATAAGATCCAAGAATGGTCAGACAAACAGGGATTTACATTTTCGAAACAGAAAACTGTGTGCGTGCACTTTTGTAGGAAGCGTGGTCTCCATCCTGAACCTGAGTTATATTTGAATGGTACAATTATTCCAGTTGCGCCTGAAATAAAAATTTTTAGGAGTGACGTTCGACCGAAAATTGACTTTCCTTTCTCATCTTTTAAACCTGAGAAAGAAGTGTCTAAAAACACTAAAATATTTTAAAAGTGTTGGCGAACACCTCCTGGGGTGCAGAGCGTTGCTCCATGCTTCGCATTTACAGAGCGCTTATCCGCTCTAGACTGGACTATGGCTCAGTTGTTTATGGATCCGCTCGGTCATCTGTTTTGTTAAAACTGGATCCTGTTCACCATCAAGGTCTGCGGATTTGTTTCAGGAGCTTTCAGGACTTCTCCTGTCCAGAGCCTGTATGTTGACTGTAACGAACCATCACTTTATCTGAGGCGGCGTGAACAATTGTCCCTTTTGCAATATTTTAATATTCTATCCCAACCTGAACATCCCAATAAGCTGTGCTTACTTAATGATGTGTGTAACACATTATTTGAAACACGTCCATCCTGTGTTCCTACTTTCCTTTAAGAGTTCGCCCTGTCATTGAGGAACTTTCCCTCTCTGATATGCACCCCCAAGCAGTACAGAATTTTGAAATCCCACCTTGGGAAAATTGCACGGATTCAGCTTCTTGATGTTTTTAAACATCACGTGAAGGCAAGCACTAACGAGATTATTTACAGACAACTCTTCGCTGAGCACAGGAACAAATATAGCAGTTATCTATCCAGTTATATACAGATGGGTCCAAGTCAAAAGATCATGTCGGGATGGCATTTGTAATTAAAAGACACACATGGAGGGCAGAGACGCTTGCACAATGCTTTCTCTGTCTTAACATCCGAACTAACTGCAATATATTTATGGTCTTTTGTACATCTCAAGGCTCTGCCTACAAAAAGTTTCATAATTTATACAGATTCGTATAGTGCTCTTAAATCATTAGAAGCTTTTCCTAATACTCAAAATCCAGTAATAGTGGATGTTCTCAAAATTACATATAAACTTAATGAATCGTGGATATGAAATCCTGTACTGCTGGGTTCCCGGGCATGTGGAATAAAAGGGAATGAGCTTGCAGATATCACAGCAAAATGTGCTGTTGAACTGTCCAGTCGTCTCATCCCTTTTGCAGACATCTGTTGTGTTGTGAAACAAAAGATCCGAAAAAAATGGCAGCAACTTTGGGATGTTCAGCTTCAAAAAAATTAAGACATGTAAAACCTAGAATTGAGCATTGGGAATTTGCCAAAAATCGTAAGGAGGAAGTTCTTTTGACTCGCCTCAGAATTGGTCACACTAGAGTGACACATAGCTACCTTTTAAAAGCTGAAAATGAGCCTGTTTGTTTTAATTGTAATGTTTGTTTATCTGTTCGTCATATTTTAATTGAGTGTCCATGTTTTAATAGTCTTCGCCAGAAATATTTTAATAGCTGTGACTTGCCTCTCGACCGTTTAATCGGAAGAAGAGAGGTCAATTGTAATTTGTTTTATTATTTAAAAGAGACTGGCTTTTATTACCAAATGTAATTTGTTTTTTGAAGACTGTGTCTTGAATTTTAATATGTGCTTTTAATTTGTTTATATGACTTCATCCTCTGGATTTGGTACATTTGTCTACTTGTTTATTTATTGAATTTTAAGTCATCAATTGTAATCATCCCATCTTGTGTTTGGCCCGCTATAATCATCTTTGGTTTTTGCGCCATAATCTCTCACTCACTCACTCACTCATTTCCAAACCTTAATTATTTAATTTTCATGTAAAGTTACATAGTTCAGCTAATGGAACGGATACTTGAGCACAATCTATCCAGGTTAAGTTGATCTCCGCAATGCTTCTGTGCATGTGCGAAAAAACTCGTTTGCAACAAAGAATACTCAGGTTTGTCAAAGACTGAGGTGTTGTCCACTATAAGACAGGCGCCTGGGCGTTAAGCCGCATTCTGAATATAACGCATAGCAATAAACATGGATGGCATTTGTGGCATAACGTAAGACATTTCAAATGTGAAAGAAAAATTTCGTGTGATAAGCAATTATAAGTTCTTGAGGAGTTTACTTCAGAGCTAAAACGTGCAAAACCTGGGCTAGAATGGCGTACGAAACTACTGTTCAGCAAGATGGAAGCAAGCATAAGTACTTGGAAAATGACCATGCTGGTTAGTAGCTTGAATGCAGGAGTTGAAATGAGCTAGAAATCTGGTAAAAGTTTAACCGAAATGCGTCGGTTTATTTCATGTTTTGATAAGATCCTGCCGCTCCAGTTTCTCGTTTTTTAAATGCTATATACTACAAACACAAAATAAATACACACTGGGATGGTAAGAAAATTTCAAGTAAATAACACAGAGTTTACATGAAAGGGAAAAATTTTAGAATCCGTCTTTTCTGTGCTCGGCACGTTTCCAATAAAAGCTTCACTATGAAAGAAACATGGAATATGATAGAGTAGACAGAGTAGAATTAGTAAATGGCAGAACTAGATATTTCATGAGTTAACAGAGATGCTCATGAAATATCTAGTTCTGCATTTACCAATTCTACTCTGTCTACTCTATCGTATTCCATGTTTGTTTGCTAACAGAGATGCTGTTAACTCATCCATGTGTGCTGGGAAAAGAGCGATCGGAAGGGTCGGTTCGAAGAAGCACGCTCGTCATGCTTGTATCTTATTTGCTCACTTTTCTGGGAGACTCTTTGCTGATAACTGCTCAAAAACGTTTCAACGAATTTGGGTGATCAGATATCTTTCAGACGGTTCTAGGAAAAAAGCTCACAAGAATAATGCTCACAGAAAAATGCTCACAGGTATAAATGCTCACAGGAAAAAAGCCCACACAGAAATATGCCCACATAGAAAAAAGCTCACATGGAAAAATGCTCACTTAGAAATATGCTCACACGGAAAAAAGCTCACACAGATGTATGCTCACATGGAAATAAGCCCACTGATAAATAATTCACATAGAAATATACCTACATTAATGAATCAATAATTAATCGATTTGAATATCGTACACCTACTTGAATTTTCTAAAGAAGAGTTATTTAAATTACCAAATCATCTATGGTATATATTTCAAAACTTTATAACTTATGTGTAGATTCAGTTGCTACACAAGATTAACAAATGGGCCGTTTTGAATTGAAAGGAGAGGAGAAAGGAAGTAAACATGAAACAGAATTATACAGTAAAACATTATTATAATTTTAATTGTTAAAAAAATAAAAAATATAAGCTACACATTTTTAATAAACATTTAGAATAATGAATAATGAATGAGAATTTAGAATGATTATTTTATTTAAATTACTTAAAATATTTAATTTTATCATCGATTTCATCATTGTTTCTTACATGATTCACCATTACCAAATGTTAAGTTTTTCCTGTGGGCTTTTTTCCTGTGGCATTTTTCCTAGAAACAGAAAGAACACCGTAAAAATTTTTTAAAATGCTGCGATTCGTGAGCATTATTCGTGAGCATTTTTCCATGTGAGCTTTTTTCTGTGTGGGCATTTTTCCTAGAACCAGTAAGAACACCGTAAAAGTTTTTTTAAATGCTGTAATTTTTTAAGTTGACATTACTCGATAGCATTTTGATTTTAATTTGTTGGGTAAAACTGAAAGAAATTCCATATGGAATTCTTTAGAAATTGCCTTTTCTATTCCTTTTTAATCATTCATTTGCCAAATACAATCCATTCAGAAAAAGGGGCAAGGCGATAACGGCGCCAATGTTGATTCCGCTCCGAATCCGTCGCATATGCTCGTCCTGTTACGTGCAACTCTAATGTCCGCAGGCTGTTTCCAGTCATCCTAAATGACTTCATCTCCCGGTGACATCATCCATCTTAACACTTGACATCGAGAATCACTATCGACTGCTCTTTGAAAGGCAAAATATGCATGAAATACACGATACAGAAACTATCGATTCGAGCCAAAAATCGATATAGTTCTGAGAAAATCCATGTCGTTCTCACGGTGCTTCTCACCTTGAAGTTAGTGGATGAAGAGAAGAATTTGAAATGACAGGTAAATTAATTTTTTTCAGCTTTGTTTTCTCATCTTTTTTTTTTAACTCTGTTTTCACGTAGAAAATACGTTTTTTCTGTGTGTTAACTAAATTTTGGAAATGTTTATCAAAAGTTCTTACATAACATGAGAAATTCTAAGATTGCGTTTTTAAAAATATGCAGATTATTTTCTTTTTACATATTTTTATACATTTGGTGACAAAAACTAACTAAATGTTTCTCTTCCTTATTTTTTACACTTAGGAACCGAAAATAGTGTACCATAGATTTAATTTTTGTGGATCTGATAATTAAATTAAATTGAAATTTTAAATGATTTTTTTCATTGCAATGTTAATGTCTTCAGTTGAAAAAAACTTGAAATACGGTTGCCCTACTTGAAATACAGTAACATTACTAGCTTTCAGAGATATTTTTCTTTTACGCTAAACCATTCGTTTGTTAAAAATGTTAAGCCATAAACATATTTTATAATTTAAAATACTACAGTAAGCAAAGACTTCTTACTTCACATTAATTACATTACATCACATTTTATTTTCCTACCTAAAAACCTTACCGTTTTCCCCAACATGTGCGCTTTAAAGTTTCAACCTCAGCCCGCTCACAGCAATATAAAAGTATTTTTAAAAGCTTTCAGAATATGTATTCATAGTTAGTTATAGCTATCAAAATTTCGACAAGTTATTACTTCCTATAAGTTATTATTTTAACAGTTATAGTGAAATTACAAAACGTAAAATAGTTCATTTAATGTCAGTTTAATATTTTTCATGTGATGTTATAAGACATTCTGAATTTTGCAATAAATCTCTTGCAAACAATAACGTTAACTTTGCCGCGATTACGTAGGTATAGAGCTGTTTAAAAGTTTTTTAATGAAATATTTTTGGTTACTTATAAATATTTATTTATAAATGATTCTTCATATATATTCTTATGAATTTCAAAATAAAGTAATTAAAAGTAAATTAAAAATCCATCCTATGACTTGCGCTAAAGCTGCAAAATAATAAACCAATAATTCATAATAATTTATAATAAGAAAACTTTCCATATCCCATCTCCAAGGAACACAAATTTAAAACCATCAATGAAAAAATTTTCTAGAATTGGGTTGGGTTGGGTTATTCAATTATGGCAAAGCACACGAGGGATATCTGCCTAAAGGGAGGGATGCCTTCGTGGAGGTCTTTTTAAGGGAAACTGGCTCGTATACACTTCTAGAATTGAAATTAGTATTTTAAATAATTTCAACTATCTGTTTAAAAATCTGCAAAGAAAAATCTTAATTGCAAAAATACTAAAACCAAAAGTAAATCGTAAATATTGAAAAAGTAGCTATTGTCATTGATCGCAGATTAATCGACTTTTTATATTTGTGTTCCTTAGAGATGGTATATGGAAAGTTTTCTTATTATAAATTATTATGAATTATTCTTATGCATTCATATTCTTGATATCTAACACCTAAAGCGCATATAAGACAAAGGGATTAAAAAATTTAAAACTAAACTTACAATCAGAAGCTTAAAATTTCTTTCCTTTCTCTCTGGCTTTTTTTCGATCTAGCTTCATTAATTTCCCTTCATGTCTGAATATTTATGATCAGTATAACAACGGATCTGCATTTTGTTTTGAACTATCATAAATTTGTAAATGATGTCACATTTCGTCAAAAAGAAGGCAAAGGAAATATTTTCTACACCAGAAAACTTCAGGAATATCAAATTCAGCTAATTATGTAGCAACCTACAGTGTCTCACAAAAGTGTTCGCAAACTTAGAGAATTTGCAGAAAAAGCGCTGTAACTCGGAATTCAATTTGAATATAAAGCCCAATATTTTTTCATATCATCTCCAAGTGACATTGAATACAGCCAATTTTAAAAAATTCTTAATACTAACTTATTTTCTTTTTCTAAAATTGAAAATATGAGAAGCCACAGATAAAACACGCAACAAGTGTGATCGTACACGGAACATTTTCGTAAAACTTTAGAAATAAAAGTATCGTCTACCATTTTTTTTTTATTTTTGCATTTTGGTGGCGTTTAAAAAATTGTTTGGGTTTTATTTTTGCTTGTTTACTTCGTTATATTTTACTTGATATTTAAATACAGCTCGTAGGCGAAAGGAAACAATGAACAGCATTTGAAAATTCATCATTGTCATCATAAGGATGGAAATTCGATTCGGGATATGGCTAGATTAGTAATGAATAATTACATTATTCAAGTGTAATGTGTTACGCAACTATTACTAAAATTTCACAATATTTATTCAATTTCCCCTCTCTCTATATATATGTATATTTGTGTGTATATCTTTTCATGTATACACGGCTTTCCAAAAATCAAGGAAAAATCACAAAATTTGCAATAACGCATTCAAAAGTAAGCCATTCCGTATAAAATTTCAATATGGTGTCTAGAAAGAGTGGCTAAGTAAGGCTGCATTATGCAAATCAGTGGCGCTGTGATTGGAATATGTCATCTGTGAGGAGCATCAAATTGCATTGAGAGCAAGCTAGCAAATTTCGCTTTGATGCTCAAATAAGAAATGTGGGATAGTAATTTGTAGTAATGACCTCAGGCATCATTTGCCAGAAGAACTGAGATGGAGAGCTAATGGGAGACTAGACGCAGGCAAATTCAAATAGAAGTGGTCAGATGGGTAAATGTGAGTCCTTCTGTGGTTCATAGATTTTGGTAACAATTTCTAACCACAGATTCGGCATCAAAAAGGTTAATCCAAGGACGGACAACCGCTATGACGAGCGTCAAATACTGATATTTGTTGCTATGAGCACGAAGGAATAGAACCTTTTGCTGCGCCCACCTTAAAGCTGGTGTCAACGTCAAACGTGCGTAGAAGGCTTCAAGGAGGTCTGCACGTGAGGGAGGACGACCAGCCATCGGCGTGCCGCTCGCGCCACATCAAAGAAGGGAACATTTGAAGTGGGCACGTCTGTCCACTAGACGGTTGATCAATGGAGGACTGTTCTCTTTACGGATGAGTCCAAGTCTAGCCTCCAAAATAGTATTAGTCGTTATTTGATTTGAATAGAACCTAGAATCCGTTATCAGCCATGAAAAAATCCACGAGAAGATGCGCATACGGAGGAAACAGTGTCTGTGTTTTGGGTGGACGCACAGACCCCCATACCCTTCCACGTTGAACCGTGAATACTCAGGCCTACACAGATGACATATTTGATATTTATGTGTGCCCTTATGCCGGGGTAACAAGTAATGATTTCCTGCTACAGGACGACAACGCTAGACCGCACAGGGCTCGCATCGTGGATGATTACCTTCAGCGGCAAACAGTTCAGCGCAAAGGATGGCCAGCTCGACCACCGGACCTGAATCCCATCGAGCATGTTTGAGATGTTTTAGGAAGATGTATAACTGCTCTCGGTCCTCCTCTCCAGACCCTTGCCACGCTTGCAAATGCTTTGCAAGAGCAATGCGTCTCACTTTTTGCGGAACTGATAAGACTGCATAATTGACAGCCTCACATCATCGCTGTATGTGCTGTATTGCTTCCAGAGGAGATCATACTCCGTACTGAATATAAATTTCCTAACTGATACGTCCAACCAAACTAACACGCCCGATTTTCTCATTTTATACATATGATAATTTCTATAACACCATAATTTTCTGGCAATTTCTTTTCATGTTATTTTATACTTTACTATGTGTTGTATGCTGTGGGTCAATTTCATTAAATTGTACATGTGAACGTTTTTGAGTAATCATCATTTTTGTGATTTTTCCTTAATTAATGATAACCAGTGTATATACATATGACACATATGACACATAAAAAGTCACCCGCATTTGAGGTTGGTTTTCTTACATTATATACAGATACGCAAGAAAACCAATATTACAGGTAAAGAGAAAAATCTCTTAGCCTGAATTTAAATGGAAGGTGCTTGAACTTACAGGGGAAACTATAAAAAATGTCAACTTCATGGTTTCAGCTAAATGTACTGGAAAGTAAAACATAATTTTCTTATCTATAATAATAGTCATAAGCAACTAAAAAGAAATCTTGAAGTAACAATAGCATAATTTAATCAAAACTGTCATAAAGAATTTAAGCGATTTAATGCAATTATTCGTATGGGTGTTATTTCTTTTGTTATGAATTCTGATTAAAGTTCTGTCAGTTGGCCGATACACTTCTTATATGGGTACTAAATTATTTAATTTTTAGTCGAATATCACAGTGAAACAAATTAAACATTTTTTTATACTTATATATATGTTTAAATTGTTTCACTGTGAAAAGGCCTAAATTGATTAAAATTCTTAGAAGAATATTCTAAGAATTCTATGAAAATATTCTGAGAAAATTTTTGGTCTTCTTGAATACCAGATATCCAAACCTAAAAATTATTTGACTTTGGGAGGTATACATAAAATCAGCTTTCAGCAAACAGTACCATCGGTAACACAAAGGATAAATAATGAAGAAAATGTTTATATACAGGAAATATTTAGCCAGAAAATTACAAGCATAATGAATCAACCGGAACTAATTAGAAATATTTCCGTTCGTCGCGGTAACTAAATTACATCTCCATCCACATTATGTTTTGTGGACGATGAATAAAAGGAGTGTATTAACTGTTTAATTTAATTCTCAGGATATAACAGGTATTGTCTTGAGCTATTTGTTTAATTTGTGATGGTTATTTGCATTGCCTGTTAGATTCGGCTGTACAATAACAGTCGTTAAAGTTGTTTTCCATCACATGACCAAAATTAAGAGCATGAGAAATAAATTACATGTTTGAGTTTCAGCTTTTGCTTCTGAGAGAGTTGCTTATTGTTACCGAGAGACGATACAGTGTTTATTATTTTTGCGATATTCAAAAGAAAAAATATTCTACGACTTGTACTGAAATTAAAAATTTAGTTCTTAAAATAAAGGTTTATATTAAAGCTAATCAAAAGTTCTTGCATTCTAAGCATGCATTTGCAATGAAATAATGCATAAAATAAGTAAATTTATTAATTAATAAAAAGTTAACAATAATGCAAAATATACATCAACAATCTGAAAACTTTCAGATTTTATATTACGAAAAATTAAAATCTGAAAACTTTCAGATTTTATATTACGTCCAAAGGGGCGTTTTTTTAACGTTTTGTGGGTTACCTTTATTTATGAAATATCATGTTCTTCGCACTTAAACCATAAAATTCATTTCAACAACAATATCATAAAAAATAATATTATATCATACTAAAGAATAAACGTGATTCTCGCATGAAGATTATTTGTCCAAGTTTGTCTTATTTTTATTCACAATACATCTCATACATAAACATATTAGACTGAAATATAATCCAAATATAATTAATCAGGTAATCCGAGAAAAAGAATAAACTAACCTAGTAAGAAAAAAAAAAAAAAAAAAAAAAAAAAAAAAAAAAAAAAAAAAAAAAAACGTTATATTCCAACTAATGATTCAATCAATGCAATTTATGCCGGAATGTCACTGTGAGCACGCGACGTATCCGGCTCAATGATACTTATGCCGCGAGGACACGTCAATGTGTAAATTCAAGGCCGTTATATTCCAAATTCTAAATATTTGTTTATATAAACATTTATCGCAAGGCCTTCTGGGAAATAGATATCAGACGACTGCAAACGCACGATTGCCCAGAGATCACATGATCATTTTATTTTCAACAGTTTCAAAAAGTGAATCGACGCAAAATGCGAAAACGAAATTAATAGCCTTTCTGGGCAAATTTCCCCTTTGGGTTAAAAATATAAAGAAATACAAGCAAATGAGCATAAATATTTGCATAGGTTAAAACTGCATTACTCCTGCAGTATTAACAGTAGTCTCGTAGGTATCTGTAATCTGTTTTCCTATGTTAAGGGCATCTTCAGTAAATTCTTTCTGTTTATTTTAAGAAAAGAGAACTAAATGATTTTTGTATAATTTGCTGTCATGGTTTCGGTATTTGTACCTCTTTTGCCAACACTTTTGAGTGAGTATATCTAAGGTTAACCAAATACTCCCCTAATTCGAAATTTTTTAAAATTTTGTTAGCATATTAATTTAAATTTTCAGAAAAGGAAAGGAACTACTTGTTCTGAGTCGAAAATGGCGGGCAGGCAGCTGTACGAAACTGCTTTCGACAGCACGGCGAGTCCACTGGAAGCCGAGGAAGAACCTGAAGATATCTTGGAAACCAGCCGACGTCTCTGTAGTCCTGATCCCAACCATGTTCAGATCCAAAGACCATCTCCTGCTTCTTCAAGGTCCAGCACAGACTCGGAAAGAGGGTCAGGGAAGAAGATAATGAGGAGATCAACTCTTCACAGTCCAGTTTTACCTCTCAAGCGCATTTTCACACCGTGGACAGACAAAAAAGCGGATAAGTATGTTGATTTGATATAGCATTTGAATGTACTTTTCCAAATACTGCAGATGCTGCTTGATACGATCACGTTTATTGCTATTTAAATTGCATTAACAGAAAGCTAGCATTAAATAATGAAATAAAGTACCACTTGAAAATGTCAGTGCTATTTAACTTGATTTAAAACACGCAGATGATTAATTTTGTAGAATTTTAATTTGAAATATAATCTGAAAAAAATTCATTAATGAATTCCCTGTAGCTGTTATGCAGCAGTTAGTTTTTTAAATGAGTCCTATTAATGATGTTTGTGGAAATTATCTCACCGATGTTGTACCCTTAATCTCAATGTGCAGAGTTCTTCTCACATCAGAGTATTATCGGGAAATTTCTCACAAATGTTTTGTATTTATACTTGTTGATAAAGCAATTAGAGTTGTCTATTTTTATCTTCAGTACAGAAACTTCACATTGCATATCAGTTGGAGAGTTGGATCTTATTCTTTAACTTCTTTGCTTCTTTATCTATTCTTAGAAAGTTCTTAGTTCTTCTTAGAAAGTTCGCATGCTTACGACATTTCTTTATGGCCACTTCTGACATGATATTCAGGGTACAAATAGGGCGCAGCCCCATCCACCTAATCGACAAGATTTTATGACAAACAAGGGCTGCGCCAAGCAAAAACCACAAACGAGGGCATCCAGCAACCCGGCCATGTCCCGGCAACAGGCAGTAAAATTAAAAACAAACCTAAAAACTTCAAAAACTTCAATTTAAAAACACTATAATCGGGAAACCAAAGGGTGTTAAGAGCCCCGGGTAACAAAAAACATGTAAAGAAAACCAAGAAAATAAACTGGAAAACATCACAATAGGAAAGCAAGAAGAAAGGAAAATAAAAACTAATCAAAATGATGGTTAGTAAAAACAAAATATAAGGAAAGGACAAAACAATTACAAACCACTCATTCTCAGAACAAGCAAAAGACCAATCAGCACACTTCAAATCGATCGATGTAGAGTGTAAAAACCTCCAACCAACAAAACCATCAGCAAAACCGGAAAAATAAAATCACAGAAATCCAGGAACCGCCATTACCAATAATCCGCCTAAATATGACTAGCGGAAGGATCATACCAACAAGCCGCTGTGACACTAGTTATCAGCGGCATAATAAATTAATATATAATAATTACATAAAACTTAATGGCAGTAAGTAATGTTTCAATGTGTACATTAAGGTAAGCGTTATCTAAGAGTTTTCTCTTTCAGTAAAGTAGTATACAAAGTAGTATACAAAACAAGAATTAACATTGGTAATTACTCCATGTGATAACCATACAAAACTATAATAGATTAAATGTGTGGTTGGAAGTGTAATTATACAATAAAAAATACCAGAAGACAAATCATTTTGTTCTACAAAAAACCAGAGCTGCAACACTCTGAAAATTCTTAAGCTTATAAACTATACATTAAAAACATTGATTACACAAGATATATTAAATATATCAAAAAACAATGAAATACATATAAAATAAAAAAATTTATATAAAAGCATAAAATACACCACATAACACGCTGAATAAAATTATGTTAAAATTCCATATAAACACCAATATCTCAATCTGAAATTATTGTAACACAAAATTTAAAAACAAACTTTTATCAAATAAAAATACCAACATCAGAGCGATTATTATTTAGAAAACACATAAGTTCCCCTGCAAATTTAAATTCTTTTTCAGCACCTGTAAAAATCTTAATAAAATTATATTTTTTTCGTATGTCATAAGTAAGTGTACATTCTTCTACATAGTGCCTTACCGATCCGACAACTTCACAATTATGACAATATTCATTCTCTTGTATGCCAAATCTTTTAAGATACGCCGGGAAGTGCCCATGTCCAGTAACAATTTGATTAAAATCCAAATGACAAGAAATACTTTTATTAAACATAGGTTTTAAATAATAGGCATATTCTTTTCTTCTATTCGAATTATTCCAATTATCATACCACAAATCAATATAATACTGTTTGATTCTAGTAATAACCATTTTTCTTGAAGGCTGGACAACGGAATACTCCCTGGAAACATCCAAAGTCGCCTCTTTGGCCAACACGTCGGCCCTCTCGTTACCTTCAATACCCACATGGGACTTAACCCATCTAAATTTAATATCATGCAAACCTTCAATTTCTTTATATAAACACTTAATATCCATAACTAAAGAGTTATTACAATCGTAGCTTTTCAAAGCCTGTAATCCAGATAAACAATCACTATAAAGTACAATAATATAACTCTTAGATAGGTTTTTCTTAATCCATTTCATAGCAAAATAAATAGCAGCAAGTTCAGCCTGAAACACAGAATTAAATTTTTCTAACTTTATCTTTGAATAATCAATTTCTATACCATAATAGTAAACAACAAAAGATAGGCCAACACTTTCCCCAAACCTAGAACCATCAGTGAAAATATCAAGTTTACCAAAACAATCAAAATTCATTTCATAATTAACGCTCATTCTCTTGGCTGGGTATATGCAGTAAGGATTAACATTATAAAATGCAGTACAATAAGCTAAATAATCACCATAGCTTATTTAGCTTATTGTACTGCATGCTTATTTAGCTTATTGTACCATGATATTCCACCATAGCTTATTTAGCTTATTGTACCATGATATTCCACCATAGCTTATTTAGCTTATTGTACCATGATATTCAGGGTATATTCAAAGATTGAGGACATCAAAGAAGTTAATTTGCTTCTACACATTTGTTGTGCCACTACACGTTTATTCAAAATTACAAACCCGATTTTAAATGGATTTTTATTAACTTAGAAGTAGAGTGATAAGTAATACATGAAATGAATATAAAAAATCCCTGAATTTTATTTAAGAAAAATTACATGCTCAAGCAAACAGCATTAAGCTGAAAGAAAATTTGTGTCCAGTTTGCTCTAGCATTCATATCTTAGTACCTCTACAGCGTTATTGAGTTTTCAGGTTTATTTAATTAATTATGGCAAAGCACACTAGGGCTATATGCTTAAGGGGAGGGATGCCTTCGTGGAGGACTTTCTAAAGGAAACTGACTCGTATACACGTTACATATGGGGAAAACCACGAAAACGCCCATGCAGCCAGCCCGTTCGCGGGATTCGAACCTCGGACCGAATTACCAGTATTCAGCGACTTTACCGCTCGGCCGCTGGTGGGCTATTGACTTTTCAGAGATCACGTAGAATTGCGCTCAGAGATAATGTGATTACAAATACAACATTTTTAATGCATTTTCAAGAACAAAAATTGCATGATCTTAAGCTGCAACAACGTAAGAAGTTTAGTTTTCGTAATATTTACTGTGACGATTCAACGCTAAAGGAACATATTTTCAATAAAGCAAGCATGGCATTCTACATTTTTGGCTACATTCTAAAATTCTGAGTGTTTTTTTTTTTTTTTTTTTTCTTTTTTTTTATTATTATTTTATGCATATCGAATTAATACATTTTTGTTCAGCATGAAATGATTATTACCTGGAATCAGATAATCATTTTAAATGTCTGCATTATAATTTTGTTAAAGTTCCAGTTTCTAATTTGATGACATCTTAAGAGCATGAAATGATTATTACCTGGAATCAGATAATCATTTTAAATGTCTGCATTATAATTTTGTTAAAGTTCCAGTTTCTAATTTGATGACATCTTAAGAGATGTAATTAAAAAACATCAAACAATGTGCAACATATAATGGTCATATGCTTTTTTATAAAAAATGCCAGCTATGGCATATAAACAAAGGAAGCATACCGGTATTTCTAATAGAATACTGGGAAGGCAGAAAAGAAGCAGACTATTAAACCGTGAATCGCTGCAAATAGTTCATAACGAAAAAAAAAAAAAAAAAAAAAAAAAAAAAAAAAAGATTAAAAGATTAAAAGTATACAAAAACAGTATGTGATTACGCATGCTTAAGGCATGCATGAAGACATGTTTCTTTTGAGCAGGTGAGAGGTATTATGTCTTATGAAAACATCTTAAATACCATAAAATCAAGATTTTCTTCTCAGTTGACTGCATTGAAATAAATGTACAGCTTCATCGTAAAATATTTCGCCACATTTCTATGTAAATTGCAAGAACATATTAAGAGAAATGAAAATAAAATGTAATTATTACCAGAATTGTAAAAAATGCAAAATAAATTATACTAGAAAAGGTAAAAGGTAATTATTAGTTTGAAAAGATATTTATTTTTAGAGATAAAAAAGTTAATCTTGAAACTTGACACTATATTTTCGCTGCATTTTGTATATCTTTACACTAGGGGATCTGAAACACCAACAGAATGTACATTACAACAAAGTGGCTCAAATGAAGACAAATCAAAGACATTTTCGCCCTCTGTCGAGTTTAAGAAGCTGGATGTCGCCGACGAGAATAAAAAAATACAGCTGAATACTTCCCTGCCAATTTAAACTGCAACCAGAGGGCTTCCAATGATGCCGAATGTAACGAAAATATAATAATTGAAACTTTGCCATCCACTGCTCTCAACCACTCGCCATACGGAAGCAGAAGCTTTACCAAATACGGTAAGAAAATTTTACTGCTGTTATTTCTTTACTGAATGAAAATTATACTTTAAGGTAGAAAAATAAACCTTCATATAAATACAGCAGGATGAATACGAAACCCTTGCAATGATGTTTTCTTTCTATATGGCATTTCAGAAGAAAGTGGCATTCTCAAAAAACTTCAATAAATTTGATTTATTATGTTACCTTGCTGATTTTACCCGCAATTAACTTTCGAAATCACATTTACGTGAATTAACCCTAGATATACATTTGATGGAACAAGCGTTAGTTTTAACTTGCTTAACGTGTGTTAAAATTTTGTTTTAAGACTTAAGCAAAGAATTTTAAGTCATTATTGCTCAATAACACCAAAATTTAACTTAATGAAGTTGAGAATTAAGTATTAAAAAAAGAACTTCGAGGTAATATATATCGTGCGAATAGGTACAACGATACTCGTCTCTTGAAAGTGCTCGCTTTTATATTTAAATATTGTAAATTTTTTGGTTATAGACGATAATAATGTTAAAGACGCATCCTGTCAGGTGAATTTTAAAATTCAAATAAGAGGTACATCATTCAGATCGCTCCTTCCAGGGGAAATTTTCAAAAGTTGTCTATCAGCTGGATTCGTATTCAAGAAAGGAAAGTCCTGTTTCAAGTTCTAGTAAAAACATGTTTTACACTATTGTAAATATTCAAAGCAATAGTGAAGAAGAACTTCTTAGAACCACTTCTTAGAAGTGGAATGAAATAAAACGGGGTTCTAAACCAGGATGGAATTTCCAACCCTTAAGGGTAGTTTCATAGTTTCATGGGGAATGTAAGCAGCCTTCTGTTCACCTAGTGATTACTACCTTTGCACTAAAGATACTACTTTCATTTTTTTCCCCCTAACTTTATTAAGAACGTTTTTTGGTGGAAAACTTTCGTTACAACCAGATAATACAATTATGTATTTACCGATACAGTAAGAAATCCGATATTATGTAGAATACCTAACATTCTGTTGATACATTGTACATAATACCAATTAAATAGAAAATTGTATTAAAACATAAAATTTCATTATTTAATCTTAAATTAAGTAAAAACATTAAACGATTTAAGAAATGTGATTAAAAAAAATGTTGAAATAGACTGTTAATCGAACACAAAATTGTGGTACTTACTAGACAATCACTTATCCATTACGCTGAAGTAATTTTGTTGCAGAAGAAGCATTTATACATTTTCATATGCAATGCAAACGTTTATTTAAGTTTTTCGGTAGTAAAAGCTGTAACTAAAACGCATGGTGTCGCAGATGTTAGCACATTAGTCTAATAATTTTTATATAGATTCACTATATGCAAACAGAACAAAATCGGTGAATATGAAAAAGACAGAGAGAGAGAGAGAGCTCTTGGCATTCTTTCCTTGTTATACTCCTATTATAATCCAGCGCTAACAATTAACTTTCTCTATCTTCCTTTCCCTCAGATTGGCTTTGTTTATGCTTGGCTAAGTTAAATACAAACTGCATAAATTTAAAATCAAACATAATTTTATCTTTCAGTGAATCTTTTATGGAAAGTTTTAAGAAACTGGTTGTGAAAGTTGTATCACAAAAAGAATACGAATTACATGCTTTCTGCAGAATAATTTCCTACTTTTGCAGCACAGTCCTTTTCCTTTCTTACATTAAAAAGGACAAAGTCGCTTTAATTAAAATTTAATCTGAAATCTAAATATATATGTAATTTATAAACAGTATGAAATTTCAAAATGGCGGATCCTTATTGCATTCAACATGCTCTCTGAGAATAAGAGAAAATTTCCTTTTAACGGCTTGCTTTTTTTCCGTAATTTTGACGCCGGAATGGCTTTGTACGAAACCGGTAGTTTCATTTCCGCTTCTCCGAGATGGAAGCAGCTCATCGGAAACGGTTTGTATTTCGTTGCTAAGTTCTCACCGTATAATGATGCACTTGTAACCTACATTGTGTATTAAATATTCGAAAGCTAGATAAAAATTAGTTTCTAATTTGGCTGTTTTCTAGCTAAAAAACTACTTCAAATTCTAAACGCCTGAACCAAATAATAATTATAATAAATCTGAAAGCTTTCAGATGTTATATTGCGCCCAAAGAGGCGTTTTTTTAACGCTCTGTGTGTTGCCTCTATTTATGAAATATCATGTTCTTCGCAATTAAACCATAAAATTCAATTCAACAGCAATATCAGAAAATATTTAAGAATAATATATCTTTAGAATTTCCGATACACAGTCTCGCGCGCCAGAGGTAAATTTTTATTTATTTATTTTTTGGTACAGTGTTTTGCAATTGCTTGCTTTGAAATCGTTGAATTTGTTAATCAAAAATTCGTTAAAGTTTTACAAAATATGCAATAGATAACAAAAAAAAAAAAAAAAAAAAAAAAAAAAAAAAAAAAAAAAAAAATTTCCAAATTTGGGCTTTTTGATGCCCATATTCGACTGAAGGTCTAAGCCATTCAAAATTTGATGTCTCTAGGTACCGTTATTTTTTCACAGTGAGAGAAACATACATACATTCATGCAGATTCTTCGTTATTTAATTTCTTTAAATATAATGCAGGGCTCTAATATTTGGTGGTAATTATTTGAAAAGTTAAACGCCGTTGTATAGTGGACGATGCAAAATGCCAAAACGAAATTAATAGCCCTTCTGGGCAAATTGTCCCTTTGGGCTTGCAAGGTATATTTTAATTTTATAACAGTTATTTTAATTTTAAAGACCTTTCCTATCAGTTCTTGTTTCCATTTAGAATTCGCTATGCAAATGAGTTAGAACAAGTTTTTAAGGAAGGTTCAACTAACTTCGATAGAGAGTGTGTAGAGTTCCTCACTTTGTAAATGCTAATTTACAGCTGAACGTGAAGAATCTTAAGAACTGTTAAGCGAATAATCGCTTGAGTTCGTGTGACAAGAAACAACAAGATGAAAGGGTAAAAAACCCTTTATTATTCAAATAAGATTTAACAGAACTCCGTCTTGGAGTGTACAATAAAAGCCGACACTTGGGCTTGAACTTAAGAGGCTAAGAAGTAAACTAAAACCAATTTTAAATTATAGAGATATAGCCGAAGCTATCAAGATTCTACCCGAGTTGGCCTCTTAACTCTTAATTCACTGCGAAGCTATCAAGGCCCTGAGTACGGCCGAGCGTAATAACGGCTTTGAGAGAGAGTAGCCCAAAAGGCGAACGCGAGCTAATCAGAAACTCTGATTCTCTCTTACTCAGCAAGTAGAACTTCGCGGTTAAATACCGCTCTTCCTCATTATGTACTCAGACGTGATTCCAAAACTACGTTCTGGCCGGAAGTAGTAAGTTGAAGTTAAGGATTTGACAGGAAAGGAACTTTAACTCAAAATTTAACTGTTAATAAAATTAACATAATCCTTACAAGTGCTAGGAATCCTTGGTAGCACGTGTTTGCCTTCGGCCTAAGTCACACTTGAAGTGTTACGCGCGGCCGTATTATTACGTGCCTTTTGATATTAGCCGGCTAGTTTAAATTGAGGGCCAACTACGTTAGATACTTGTGTTCAGCTTCGGCTAAGTCTCCTTTAGTTCGTTATAGATTAGTTTCTTATTTCTTATTCTGAGTTAAAGCCCCAGTAGAGGCTTCTTGTAAGCCCGGGAAGGGGCCGTCTGTTATTCTTATTTGAGTGAGATAAAAGGGTATTTTAACCTCTCTCTCTCTACGTCTTTAGTTGTTTGAACTCAACGATAAGTCGCTACATAGTTCACTAGGTTCCTCGACGTTCATTTCAGATAATAGTGAAGAACCCCACAAGCTAAAAGGGGGAGATTTTTATTTTCAAGCTAACGACGTATGTACGGATTTTAGGTAAAACCGTTAAGACTAATAATGACTACATGAATTAATGTATCATAAAAGCAAAATAGTTTCACTATAGTGAGTAATTTCGACTTTACTTTAGAGTTCAGTTATGAGAACTTTCAATTAGTACAATCAGGCTTGGTTTTATTAAGACAATCTGAGGTCTCAGATGTAATGTTCTTTTTTCTGTTTTTATGTGGGGAAAACTGAATTATAAGGTATTATAGAATAATTTTCTGATCCTTTTAAAAGGGATCCAGGTCTATAGGCCTGGGCGATAATCAGGTCTTGAATTCAGAGATCTTCTGTAATTTTCGTGGATTTAAATATCAGAATTATTCCTTCTTCCGCTAAACAACGGCTATAAGATGTAACAGATGTTGACTGTACTAGGTTTTAATTTTATATTTAAATCCCAACTTCAATGTATGATGTATTCCCCAACTTTTATATATGATTCATATTATTACTTTTCGATCACTGTTCTTAAGACAAGAGATCTTTTCAAGCCACGTACTTGATAATAACAATTATCTGAAATTTTAATGCACGACTACTAAATTCAATTTTGCTTTGGTTAGGCGTGGAATCTACAACATACAGCAACGCAAGACTCGATTTCGAATTAGAAAATGGTGGTGATACGTCCAGCACAACGACAACTTTCCTGCTTGCCAGGGCTTCCAGAGATGATATGAAACGCAGTAATTTTGATTCTAAAACAGGTACAGTATTTTGCTTAAATATTAGATAAATATTTAAAAAAGAAAATTAGTTGTAGTATATACGTCTTAAAAATACATTATCAATATTAATTTACACCATTTTATACTCAATTTGCGTATTATGTTAAGAACCTTTACAATACGTTCAGTCTTTTAAAAAATCATTGCTGTTAAATGATGCTAGTTTCGTTATTTTGTTGATAAAATTGAAGAATTATCTTTTAATACGAGAGGTGCATTTTCTCATTAGGAGTAATAATAATGTATCACTAATTTCCTTTTCTATATATTTGATATAAAACTACTTGGATTTGCGTTTTTAATTTCTTCTAGGTTTAATTTGTGTATCATTTTATCATATTTTAAGTAAATTCAAAAATCAGTCCTTACGGGCCCTGCAGTATCCTAGAAACTTATTCTCATTACAGTGATAAAATACACACTGATACGATTTTGAAAAAGAAGAAGAAAAGCTTTAAAATATTGCATTAAAGATGTGGATCTTATGTCAGAAAAATAGAAATTAATAAACATCTATCTTAGGGCATGTATCTTTGACTCTAACATTACTACTTTTAATTTTTCTTCTGCTAAACTCACCCAGATTACTTTTCAGTTGGTGAAGCAAATTTTTATGGAGTTTTCCACGTTCAATAATATATATATATACTAGAAAGCCCGGCGGTCATACGAAATGACCGCTGTTCTGGATATTATAAACTGTAATTAAAATGATTTATGGAAAGGTGTCTGCTAATTCAAACTGAATTACCCAGGGCAGGCGGCGAGCACGCCCCTTCGCTTACCGCCCCACGGGGTTTCCCCCATCTACTTGCTTAATTGCTTAAAGTTGAGTGCAATTGAGGAAACCACTGACGGTATATTTCTTAAGAGCCACCGCTAGCTCAATAAATAAAGGTGATTTAAATAATAAAATGCTAATTCACATGTCAAAGATCTCTTTGTACACAGATCTTTGACATGTGAATTAACATTTTTGTGTAGATGAACAACATTTGTTGTGTAGATCTTTCCATCATTTTTAAGCTCGCCTTGCAGAGGACCATCAATTATTTTTAATCTTACGTCCGTTCTTTCACGAACTCACAAAGTCTTCGTTCAGTTGTAAACCATTTAAAAAACAGATTGCTAACGCAAACAAATGTTCACGTTCCCCCTGACACGCTCAATTTGCGTTCAGCTGAAAATTCAGTTTAAAATACAATGTCGGAATAAAATCGGACAAAATTTTAAACTCTTTACGCGAAAGGATATTTAGCATAGGAGTTTGGGTAAACCTACCTGATGAGATGTACTACGCACAACTCGTTAGTTGGTTTGGTCTCTTTTAATTTCTCAACGTTGCAAGTTTCTAGATAATTCATATGTAAATATAGTTAAATGCATAATAAGCAACAATTGTATAAATTAAAAATATTTAAATGTTCTTAAATAGCATGATAATTTAATTAAAACAATGATAATTGCATGTATGGTATCAGTGTATATGGACTATTTGAATGCTATAGCCGTGTATATCGACTGTACAGTGTATATCGACTATTGCAACTTCAGCCCATTGGCTAGTACAGTTCGCAAGTAACCAATAAACTATCAGCGACAAAGAGACAATTAAGCCACATCTAATAAAATACGCAAGAAACCAATAAACTATCGGCGACAAACAGACACTAAAGCCGCATATATATAAGATATATACATATATATAGAGAGAGATTTATAAGAAAACAAGATGTTAAAAACTTAGCTAAGGCCGTAAAGAACATTTGAACTACCTATCTAATTCCTGATATCACATGTTAAACAATGTCAAATCATCTAAATCGAAGTTAAATCAAAATATGTACGCGAGAAAAAACCTATCCAATCTACATATAACAGAAAACTTGCACAACAAATCAAAAAACGTACGCGAAAAAAACCTATCCAATTAACAAAAAATAATAGATATATAAATTTGGAATTTAACAAAGAAAATGTTTGTTAAATTCAAATTTCATTCCTTGCAGCAATGGCACAAGAGAATTATTTAAATTTAATTTTACTTTTTTTTCTTATGAAACATATATATATATATATTATATGAACAGTTGATACATACTGATGAAACAGAAAATTCTGAACATTGAATACGATATCGGTGGTAGCATTATGCTGTAGAAGACGAAACCGTGAATGAAATTTGACACTACTTCAGTAAATTACGTCCGTGTATCGACCTCTATGATGATCAGTAATGCAGCTTTTCAGATGCCGTGCCATAGTATAACGACGAAAGAATGTCCAGTCATCTTGAGTCCATAAATTATATTAAGACTTGTAGAAAAAGCGATTTGCGCTCATTCAGCGGTCCTGTGCCTTCTCTCTATGTACGACTGATATTACTGATGGTCTATGGAGCTAGTGTAAAGCTGATTACTATAAAGCTGCAGTACTAGAATACAGGACTGGTACAAGGCCTTTAAAGTGATGGAATTGATTTTATTAACCTTGGAATTGTCAGACATTGTCTAATGTGCCACTGTCCTCTACTATTACGATAATATTATGAACATTATAGCATTATTCAAGGGTCGTTTGGATTGGGGTCTATCTGAACTAACGGGCACATCTGATATAGTCGACCCATCTCCAAAACCAGTTTTTCTCCACAGGGGCAGCGAGCTGAAAAATCTGAACTGCAGTTATAGATGAGCTAGACGACACATGGAACTACCTCCGTTAGATCTAATAAACCCCAGTCTAATGATAAGGGCCGTTCCCACTGGCGGAGTCAATTCCACGAGTCGACTAGCTTCGCTATGCCTTCAGTTCACATTCTTTAACTTGTTGGTTGGTTGGTAACGGAGGACGGGGACGCCTGATGTCTAACAGAGGTGCCATATGGGAAAAAAACTGGTTTTGGAGATGGGTCGGCTACGTCAGTTGTGTCCGTTAGCTCAGATAAAGCCCAGTGGAAACGGCCCTTTACTGTCAAGTTTATTTATTCAATTATAAAGGACCGTTCAAACTGAGGTTTATCTGAGCTAACGGAGTCAGTTCCCTTAACGTAGCTTATAACAAGCAAATGAAAAAAAACCGGAAAAAGATGCACAATTTTCATCTTTACGATGCTTGATCAAGAACATCTGATGGAAGAATAACTGTCACAGAGGTTTAAACTGCAAGTTTAGGGTATGTCGAAGAAAATGGCAACAGAAGCTGCAGCGAGATGTGGATGAATCCAACATTTCATCGTTGCAGGTAGTAGAAGAAACTTGGTAAAACATACGGAAGAAAAACGTTTTTCGACGAGAAAAAAAAACTAAATACTCACATTTGGCAGAAAACGTTTTGTCGTTTGTAATGCTCACTATCTTGTAATCATGGGTATGATTAATTCTCGGGATGAGGAGATGCAGATGAGATAAAATGATTGTGATAATTAAAGATAAAAGGAAGCAATCAAGATTTTCGAGATAATGCCAGATATGGTGCGCGCATTTTATGCATAGGATTGCTTTATCGGCATGCCGTCTCTGCAAGACAACAATTGAGCAACGTATTACATGTTTCTCATATACGTTCTTTTTTCTTTCTCCTAGTTATTCCTCAACAACTATTATCCAAACACCTGCCTTCGAAACTGATGAGCACACAATGCTCTGCCATTCAAGTATGTAATGTAACATTATATTAATGTAACATTATAGCAATAACAAAATGCAAGGAAATATTTTTATATTTTTCACCTAAGCAACGAGGCCTTAAAATTATTTGTACTGTAATTATTCATTTTGGTGCGGCTCAATTGTTTTTGCTTAGCAAGCTAAATCTCACAAAAATAAGATAATACATAAATATCTCAAATGGAAATGTTCGATTATTTATTTATTATCGCTTCTAGTATTTGATACATGAGTATTTGAAAGAAAAAAAGGAAAGAGAAGAACATTTTTTTGATTCGAAAAGAATCAGCTCAAACTTCGTTTGGGTCAGTACTTCAGTACTTATGAAGATAAGAGAGAAACCTAGTTAATGGAATCAACATTTTCTCTCACTTATGAATCATGAACATTTTCCCTCATTTATGAATCATGAACATTTTTCCTCACTTTATATAATGAAATTTTTTTTTTAATTTGTGAAACATAAACATTTTTCCTCACTTATGAATCACTAACATACCGGGTGACCATAATTAAACAGACAGTGCTCACAGTGTTCTGTAGCGTGATCTATTTGCGAGAATGACGCCACATTTTGTAGGGAGATTAAACAAGACGGGGGACGAAGGATTCCGCGAAAAAAAATTAGTTCCAAAAGTCACCGCTAGGGGAATATTTGGCGCTGTGTAACAGAAAATAGAGTGTTAACAAATGCAAATTAATGCGGAATAAAATTTATCGTAGGTCTATTCTTCTAAGAGAAAATTACCCCGACAGGACCGGAAACCTGTTCTGTTACCGGAGAGAAATATCGCCACATGTTGAACAGCTTTGTCATTCCGGCTCTTCAACAAAGACAATGCCTGGGGGAAATCATTTTCATGAAAGATGGGTTTGCCTTGGTCCTCCATACGTGCTGTATGGGTGCAACAGATGCTACGACAGAAATTCACAACAGAAAGAGTCATTAGCCGCTACTTTCCAACTGCATGGCCACCTCGGTCGCCTGATCTTACCCCATGCGACTTCTGGCTATGAGGTTAACTTAAGTCCAAGGTCTATCAAGGAGCGGTCCAGGACCTGGCTACGTTAAAGGATAACATATCACGGACTGTACGGGAGATTCCTGCAGACATGTTACTTTCTGCTCTTGTGCATACTGTGCACAGAATGCAATATGTGGTCCAACAACGGCAGCCACATTGAACCTCATTTGAATGCGAAGTAAAAGGTAATTTCCGTATTGATTTGCATTTGTTAACACTCTATTTTCTACACAGCGCCAAATATTCCCCTAGCGGTGACTTTTGGAACTAATTTTTTTTCGCGGAATCCTTCGTCCCCCGTCTTGTTTAATCTTCCTACAAAATGTGGCGTCATTCTCGCAAATAGATCGCGCTACAGAACACTGTGAGCAGTGTCACTTTAATTATGGCCACCCGTTATTTCCTCACCTATAAATCATGAATATTTTTCCTCACTTTATGAATCATGAACATTTTTCCTTTCTTTAAATCATGAACATTTCTTCTCACTTATGAATCATCAACAAAGACCGTCAGTAAAAGTTGTTGACAATCAATTAATACTAATTCAGAAGTCAAACAACAAAAATCAGCGTTATATTTTTCAAATTTTCACAGGAATAGTTTCGATCGTTTTACCGAACCACCATCCTCAGCTGCAAAAACGCAAATGAACGAGATAGGATATGATAATTAGATAAGATAAGAAAGCCTGGACAGAAAATAAGATAGTGGCGCTATCTGTTGATGAAACCAGAACTAAAACATAATTTCTTCAAAGGCCGAAGGCAAAGATGGATTGGAATTAGGATCGTTAACTGGAACAGAAAGATTTTTTTGAATGTGAAATGCCTCTAGAAAATCCAGTTCTCCAATGGAAGATGTTTTTGAATAATTTTGGCAGCAGAATTGAAAATTGAATTGTGTGATTGATTGATTGTGATTGATTGATTGAAAGTGTGATTTTCGGACCAACAATGTTGAGCAACAGAAGACTTCTGTGTTTCCTTTTTTATAACATATGCCTCATGTTCCTTGACGCGAAATTTTAAGGCTCTCTTAGTTTGGCTAATGTAAATTAACCACACTGGCAAGGAATCCTATAAATACCACAGAATTTCATATCCGGAATGAGGTCCTTGAATATGGAACTCGTAATTTTATTGATGGGAGAATAAACGAAAGTTAAATTTCTGCAAAATATGTGCAACTTTATAGCTAATTGATGGAAAGAAGGGAATGACAACAGAATTTTTATATTCTCCTAAAACAAGAGTGTGCCTTTTAGTGTGTTGAGATGAGAATTTTTTAACTGCTTGATTAATAATGTTGGGTGAAAAGCCCCTGTCAATAGCTATTGCTTTTAAATAATTTAGTTCTTCATCAAGGGATAGTTTGGAGGAGCAAACTTGAAGAGCACGGAAAACATAGGTATAAAATGAAGCTAACTTTTGTTTAATCGAATGACATGATTTAAAATGTGGTGGAAGGCAAACCGATGAAGGTTTACGGTAAACCATTTGGATGTGTTACGTGTGACCATAATGTCGAGAAACGGAAGAGAATTGCAAGTCTCAAGTTCAAAAGTGAACTGAATAGCAGGATCAATAGAATTCATTGTTGAAAGAACTTTATTTAAATCATCTTTATTACTTTCAAACAGAGTAAAAGTATCGTCTACGTAGCAGAACCATACAGGGAAGTTTAAAGTTTCAAACAATTTTTGATTCATAATAATGCATGCAGATATCAGCCAGGATGGGACTGAGGGAGCTTCCCATGGCTAATCCCTCAGTTTGCTTGTAATATTTATTTTGGATAACAAAATGCGTTTGTTTCAAACAGAGTTGAGTGAGAGAAATTAGCTCATCAATTTCAATGAAAGAGAAATGAAATCCGCGAAGTCTGGTTTCTAGACATCTTAATGCACCCTCCATTGGAAACATTGGTGAATAATGATTTTACATCAAAAGAAACAATGAGTAAATTTCTAGGAGAAATGTTTTTAACCTTTTTTACAAAGTCTATTGAATTTTTATGGTGTAAGTGTTATTGTCTAATAGAGTTGAAAATCTAGAAACTAAATATTTAGCTAACAGACACAAGAGAGTACCTAAATTTGATACAATAGGGCGGAAAGGAATACCACTTTTATGAATTTTGGGAAGAGCATATAATCTGGCACAATTCGCAACAGATGGGATAAGCGAATGTTTTAAGTTGCTTAAAATGATTTGTGAAGATTTGATCGCCGTTTTTATTTTTGACAGGTCCGAAGGTGAAGGATCTTTAGGAATCGGATTATATGGTCCTTCGTTTAAGAGTTTAGTGACAATATCTGGCCACCTAAAGGCACACTCTTGTTTTAGGAGATTATAAAAATTATGTTGTCATTCCCTTCTTTCCATCAATTAGCTATAAAGTTGCACATATTTTGCAGAAATTTAACTTTCGGGTTGTTTACTCTCCCATCAATAAAATTCCAACTTCTATACTCAAGGACCCCATTCCGGATATGAATTCCTGGGGTATTTATAGGATTCCTTGTCAGTGCGGTTTAATTTACATTGGCCAAACTAAGAGAGCCTTAAAATTTCGCGTCAAAGAACATGAGGCATATGTTAGAAAAAAGGAAACACAGAAGTCTTCTGTTGCTCAACATTGTTGGTCCGAAAATCACACTTTCAATTTTTCTGCTGCCTAAATTATTCAAAAAACATCTTCCATTGGAGAACTGGATTTTCTAGAGGCATTTTACATTCAAAAAAATTTTTCTGTTCCAGTTAACGATCCTAATTCCAATCCATCTTTGCCTTCGGCCTTTAAAGAAATTATGATTTAGTTCTGGTTTCATCAACAGATAGCGCCACTAGCTTATTTTCTTCCAGGCTTTCTTATCTTATCTAATCATTATATCCTATCTCGTTCATTTACGCTTTTGCAGCTGAGGATGGTGGTTCGGTAAAACCATCGAAACTAGTCCTGTGAAAATTTGAAAATATAACGCTGATTTTTGTTGTTTGACTTCTGAATTAGTATTTGTTCGGCGTGTTATTGTATCTTAATTAATCAATTAATATTTCATAACAAATCATTTTTCTTCTCTAAATAAATAAAAATTTATATTTATCATTTTGAAATGTTATGTAATATAGATGTTTCTATTTTTAAATAATTTTATCTTTTCCAGCTACAAGAAACAATTTATGGCTCGATTTCAGTCGAGCTCCCAAGCGTATGAGGCGACACTTATGCTTAGACATAAACGGAACACAGGATGATATTGAACCAACAGCATATTTGTTAAAACAAGGGTTTGTATTATAATTTTATTTAGATTTAAAAATTCGATTTTGACAGCATAAATGATTAGTAAATTTCTGATTTAAAGATTTAATTATAAAATTACTTGTAAGTAAGGAGTTTTATAATTTAGTTTCTTTTGCGCTGTGCGGACATTCGTTGACAAATGAAATACTGTTTTTTCCCTGCATAATTTTTCATAAAACAGTGAAACCTCGGTTCCTGAATTTAATTTTTTGTTGAAGGCCATTCGTCAACCGAAATGTTAGTGAGTCGAAACAATTTTCCCCGCACGAATTAATGTAAAATGGATTAATCTGCTCCTGACAATGTTAAATCAAGATTAATAAATTTGTAATTTTCTGGGTCTGATAACGCCGCAGCTGCTCAGAGCTCGCCATTTACAGCACTTCTCCAAAACTATTCATGGTTATGGAAATCCCTTTTCTTTAACTCATTTTCTCAATTATCTTTAGTTTCTTGCCTTCAAAACCCATTCAAACTTTCCAAAGCCGACCTTTGTATTTTAACTCTTGATGTGAAGTTGTGGTTACCTGCAGTCAATAATCTTGTACAAAAAACTTTGAACTGCTCTTTTGAAGTTTATTTAACTGAGACGTGAAGTCGCTTTAAGATTGAAATTAAGCCTTCACGAATAACATCCATATCCATCCATTTTGTTAAACAACATTTTCATTTCTCCTTTTAGATATGCATTTTAACAAAACAAAAAAAAAAAAAAAAAAAAAAAAAAAAAAAAATCTAAAGCATATGTCACGAAAATTAAAATAAATACATATTCTTGAGACATCAGAATCAAATAGAGCTTTAACAATTGCGCTACGAAGTCGTATATTACCTTCCTCTTATAATTTACCTACACTAAAGCCTTCTCTGGAAAGATAACTGATTTTTGGGGGTTGAAAAGTTGGTACTACTACTATACACCAAAAAGAATTTACATTTATAATTTACATATTTTTTTTAAGAATGATAATTACGTTTCTAAATAAAAATAACTTGTATATATATTAGCTAAGAAGTGTTTTCCAGAAGAGATAGGTTGTTCTTCAAAGTGATAGAGAATCATAGAAGAGTAATATAGTAAGAAAATGCTCGCTGTTTAAGTATTAAAGATTCCAAATGAAAATGCTAGTTGATAAAAATTGGATGTATTAAATTATTCAGTTCAAGGCATGAGGTTTCGAATTAATATTCAAGCACCAAAATTGCCACTTGCGTAAATATCAGATGCGTATACAAATTAGAAGAATGCTAATTTCAATACTTGTTTCCTAAAAAAAAAAGTTTCACGATTTAGCTTAAACAACAAAAGAAATATCTTACGTGCATATTTTTGTCTTTTTAATAAAATTTAAATAGTTTTGCTTTTTGCAGATGGTATCATGGTTCGATTAGTCGCGCAGACGCGGAAAATCTACTGCGTTTGATGAAAAAAGGCAGCTTTCTGGTTCGTTGCAGTGAAAAACTGAAACGGCAATATCTACTCTCGCTCAAGTAAGTTTCAAAAATTCTTACAACCTTGTAATTTTTCATAGGTGTACATCATTACTATAGCAATTAAAAATGCTAATTGTTAGGTTAATTAACTCTGCGAAAACATCAGTCTGTACTAGAACTTGCATTGCGACAACTTCGCATTAGGACTAAATTATAAATTAACGTCTGCTACTTGACAATTTTGTTTTTGACCGCGTCTGGCATGAGGGGCTCATCTTCAAGCTTATCAGTTTGGGACTTCCTAGAGAACTTATTCTTCTGATCTTTCCTTCTTACAGAACCACACATTCTTCGTTGCTCAAGGAAATGAAAAATTTACTTCAAGACCCATTAGATCCAGCGTCCCAAAAGGGAGTATCCTCAGTCCAGCGTTTCATCTTTTCTACATCTCGGACTTTCCGCACAATAGTTTGGATAATTATTCTCTGTTAGCATGTTATGCCGATGATACAGCGATTGCAATTAAATATATCAATGCAAATCATGCTATCGACAAAATGCAAAATTATCTTTACGCTGTAGAAGATTGGTGCACCAATCGGCGTGTAAAAAATTAATGCTATGAAATCGCAACTTTTAATCCTCAGCAAAACCAAGAAGCAACATTGTTTTTAAAGAACTCTTCCTTTTCCAAAAACCTGTTCCTTTGGTCACAAAGGCTAAATATTTAGGCATCATTTTAAATCAGACTCACTTGGTCCAACCACATTAAAAGTGTCAAGAGCAAGGCAATTGGTATCATGTGCAGATTTCTCCGTCATTCGAAAATACTCTAATCTTAGCTTGCATACCAAGAGACATATCTATATTACCTTATTCGACCAATACTATGCTATGCTGCTCCTGCTTGAAATACGGTTACTCAAACTCAACTTCATCACCTGCAAGTTGTTCAGAATAAATTTTTGCGTATTATTACTGACTCCCACTATCTTATTCGTAATGAACTTTTGCATAGAGATTTAAAGCTTGAGACAATTCCAGATTATATCAGAAGATACAATGAAAAATTCTTTACCAAAGACGTGCAATGCGACTTCGTAAATTATTCTCAAGTTTTTAATTATGAAATTCTCTTTGAAGATCGAAGCATCCAGCCACTGGCAGCACACAACTTCATGAGCAGAGATGACAACTTTATCACTTAGCTCCTCATTTGTTAGCTGTTTATATTTCTAACTGATTTTGATTGATCAAATTTGATGATTTTGAAGATCTAACTGATTTCTATCTGATTTTGATTGTTGTTTTTCTGCTGTTTGAATGTAGTTATTAGGAATTTTTGGTAGCTGATGTTGTGTTGTATTATGCATATTGTGTTGTAACTTTGTAGTTCAGGTTGTTGTAGTATTGTTGTTTTCAATTTGTGTTGTATTTAGTTGTATTGATTGAGGTAGTATTGAAGATTTTGAGTTTGTTATTGAAGCCAGTATTGTATTTTATATTTCTCTTATTGTTGATATTGAACCTGCATTGTCTTAGATCGTTCTGGAGAACTCTGCTCGCTCGTCACGTTTTAAGAACTTGTCTGATAAAATTTTTTAGCTCCTTTTGGTACTTCTCTTCTCCCCCCTTGCTCCGTTTTTTTCTTCTGAGATTGCTCCACGTATGGATTTTATTATGTTATGTGCCCTAGGGCTTTATTTCAGGAACCGGCAACATTGCTTTTCACAATAGTTCGGTCTAATATCGAGTTTAAGACAATTTTGTTTTCCCGCAAAATGGCACTTTTAAAGAAGCAATGGATAGAAGGTTGTTTGTGCTCTTTCCGAAGAAAATTATTCATATTTAGTTATTAACAAATTGCTGTAAAAGCCACGGTTTTTCAATACCTAAAGCTACGATAGGTAATATTGCACACAAGAAAGGGAGAGGAAGTCAAAGTTTGGCTTCAGTGGAAAAATTGTTCGAAATACATATCCAAGGGGAAAAAAAAACTGAGTGTTTCGAATTTTGCAAAGCAAAGATCTTAAATGCTAAAAGAAAATCCGCCAAGTCAAAGGACATTTGCAAAATTATTAAACTGCTCAGTGTCAACAGTAAACAAAGTGATTAATGCTGATTTGAATCTTAAAATAGAGAAAAAACATAATGTGCATCATCTTCTTCCACGACATATTGTCGAACACTGTATGCGCCGCAGAATTATTTATGAGAAACATTTATCCCGGCAAAAAAGGAAATCCATTGTCAAAGTATATGAACCTTACATGCATTTAAATGACTGCAACAAAAAGAGATTCGTTTGTTTGTGAGATCTCATATTTTTAGCTATCACGCAAGGAAAAGATCTTACTAAGCCAGGCGACTTCTCGCATAAGCGTGAAGAAACAGCACACAGGGAAATGGTTTAAATTGCCCTTTTATTTGATTAAACTCTTTAACAAAAATGCACGTACTTTTTGCTGACAACAACACTGACTACTTACAGTGAGAAGGTTAATTAAGAATAAATTAACAATAACTTAAATGGCAAGGAATAATGCAAGACTACTAAACTAACAGGCTGACCTAGCAACTCACTCCGGCGACAAACTTTAAATAATGGCCGGAAGGCATATCAGCAACTCAAAGTAACAGCAGAAAAGGTAAAATAGCAACGTGTGCTATGCCAAACGAAATCACGCTTTGACTAACTTTCTCTTTTTGCCCTAACTTTCTCTTCTTCATTTTAACTTGATTTGCTAACTTTCTTTTCTTCATTTTAACTTGATATGCATCCTGGTGAGGAAATGCGAGGGGAAATTGAGGAGTTCAGAAAAGATAGCAAAGATTAGAAAAATTTATTATTCAAACTAAGAGAAACCTGCATGTTATCAAAAAGGAGGAAAAATTCTTAAACAAAAATAGTTCAAACAATCTAAAAAAGATTTTTCACAGGGATGTTGCTCACTTTCATATAACAGCAACTTAAAAATGAAGAGAGCAGAGAATAATGTTAAGATCAACTCAACATATTATGAGGAACATATTTTATACCCAATTTTTAAATATGAAATACCTTCTCTTTATCCACACTGCCATCAATCAGTAGAAATGCATCAATACAAAGCAAGGAGGCATAGGCAAAAATTCACTGTTAATTTTTGTAAAAACAAAAACAGATGTCAAAGCCATACCCTTCACTCATATCCCTACTACATCTCCTGATGTGTCACGGACGTATTTTTATGCTTTTTGACTTTTAAAAAGCGGATTTTCAAACGTCGACCTACAACCCTCCCTGGACTTTGGAAATCTGCTCATGAGGAATGGGATAAAACACCTCTTCCAGTACTACAAAAGTCTTCATTGTCTTGGAAATTACAGTGTATAAAGATACTGAAGAATAAGGGTTATCAAACAGAACATTTAAAACACAAAAAAATTAGGTCAAATATTTCTATAAATACAATGAAAATTGTCTAAAAAATGTGCAAACAGCCTCTGTTATTAAGACAAATGCAATAAGATACTTTCGAATTTATGCACAAGCACAAGATTCATCTAGCGTTTATTTCATTCCAACTAATGGCAGGATGCGGTACAACCAGATCAGAAGATTGCATTTAAAATAAAATACCATTTCATAATTTTTATTTAAATTTACTGAAAATTCAAATTATAAGAAACTCTCAAACCCAAAACCTGAAAATTGATGGGTGGTGTGCAATAAAGTGCAGTATATGGAATATGCAAACCTCATAGCTTCTGGTAAAAGGCTATTTATCCTACTTTTATTATGACAAAAATAATACATTATGGTAAATATAATTTCAATGTCAAACATGGTTCTAGGCATGTTTAGTATTTTTCATTAGGCCATATACAACTAACATAATTTTACTACCACCTCAAGAAAGGAGTAGCCATGCACTACACTCTATGGCAAGATTAGATGTTTCATTATTCAAGGTAACTCCATAGACTCTTATCTTGGCATATGCCTACAATTTCAAGCCCGAGATTGAAGCTATTTCGATTAACACTTCAATACCTAAAGTAAAATTTGAACAAGCATGGTTTGCTTCATATATGATTATACAGTCATTATATTTTTCAAAGTGAGAAACATGAAATGGGAAAATATGCAATGCTCTCTCTAAGATTTTAACTTTGGACCTCCCGACTGCTAGCTGGCCATGCGTCCAATTACATCATGAAGGCACAATGTAATAATAAAGATAACACCTTACATTTTCCTCTACTTAAGCACTGAATGGGGAGGTGGGGACTCATTAACCAAACCCTGCTTTTGATGAATTATTGCCTGCCACTTATTAGGTTTGTCAGAGAAAGAAAGGGCCTTTGCTGAAATTCAAAATCGGGACCTCCTGATAACTACACAGACATGCTTCCAATTACACACCACAAAGGCATGCTGCAAGGAAGGAGAAAATATCTTTCACATTAAATACATTATGAAACACAGAAGGAATTTGTTTATTACCATGCTTTGAGTCAAAGAACATTTTTTGTTACTGATTTATGTTTGTAATCATTATACTTTACACCAATATCTGGATGTCAATTCATAATATTTAGATGATCCTATACTTGTTCGTAATGAGTCATCTTCTATCTCGTTTTATTGCAAAGTAAGATTTGAAAAATTTCCTAATTTTCAGCTAGATGTTATGATTATTTAAAATTCAATCAACTATAACCACTTCACTAGAGACAGACTTAACATGTACATCCCAGAACCATTTATTCTGAAATAACAGGGATGGATGCAAACTTTCCTTTGAACTCTGTACAAAAAATTTCTCATTTTCTAATATTCTTACATTATTTCTGCACCTTCTTTAGGCTTTATCTTTCTAATGCATCTTATGATGTTAAAATTATTTAGAACTGTAATATTCAAAATATACAGTTTTATTCAATTATTGAATTATTCAATTAAGAGTAATTTAAAAAACTTTATAATTATTTTATATACTTATCTTTTATAGAAGTTCCAGAGGAGTTGTGCATGTTAAGATTATACAGTTGCCAAATGGAAAATATGTGATAAAACAGCAGACCCAGTCTTTTGATTCAATTCCACAATTAATTCAATATTTCAGTACGCACATACTTAATATTCATGAAATGAATGTGTATTTGTCTCATCCAGTAATAGAGAAATTATTGTAAACATTGTTGTCAATAAAGATGTATATTTCTTTTTATGATTAATTCTTAATATTGTTCCTGCTTTAAATTATCTCATGAATAATTTAATTTCAAAATTGTAAAACTCTGTGAATTTTTAAAAAGAAAATGGTATAATTAATGCAATAAAAACATCAGAAAATTATACAACACACTGAACTTTAATAATTGATGAAATCAGCTTCTATTTTTGGCACTGTTTTTTATTTAGATCATCAAAAAAATATTAATTATTTGATAATGCTGCAGTTAGTAAGTTAGTAATTCCAATAACTGCCAGTAGTTCTAGACAATAAATTCTTCCCGGAATTCATAAGTTGGCATGCTTTTAATCCAGAAATAGCTTTACACCTACCAGTTAAATAATTAATTTCCAGATTTCTTCCCATTACTCTTCCATACTAACACTACCTAATCTCAATACTCCTTTAAATTCGTCTCTAATCCCCCCCCAAAAAACTTAATTCAATCATATTTCCTTTTAATGCTATTATTGATAATACTTCAGGAGAAGCATACTTTGAAAACTGCTCTTTCTAGGTACTGAAATGAACGATTCAATGAGACTCACCAGGCTCTCAAACCATCTTCCTACAACTGCTACTGTTAAAAAAATAAAGTTTAAACAAAAATTAGTTTTGGTAATTGATAATTTCTTCTCAGTCTTACATCTGCTGATATTTTTATACAGTATTCTAAATTCCATTACTTAAAAAAAAAAAACTGTTTTTTATGTTTTAGCACATTATTAACACCTTACATCTTTTTGATGCTAGGAAAAATATGAAAAATACCTTTTCAATGATGAATAGTGCTGATTCCTCTTTTCAGTTCCATCTTAAAATTAGATTATTCAATTCCTTTTCTTTGACTGTAACAGCACACAATAAATCCACCTTCAATGCTACAGAGCTTATCAAAATGCTTTTTTTAATTTGCTTTCCTCTTTGTATTAAATTTTACAACTTTGTTATGAAATAAATCATTTCCTTCTACTTTGTTTTTCTATGCTTGTTCTTCAAGTTTGCTCAACTTGCTTATTTGGGAACTATTGGCCTCATCAAAGATTTTTCTTATATTACTATTGTTTTCTACTTGTTATTGGCAAAAAAATGTTCACATTTTCCTCTTCGAGTTAAAATACATGACATTCTTCAGTTAAACGTAATCACAGTAATTCACAAAAAAATAAAATCTGAAAGGTTTCAGATTTTAAATCACATCCAAAAGGGCATTTTTTAAACATTTTTGTGTGTTACCTTTATTTATTAAATATGATGTTCTTTGCACTTAAACTATTAAATTCAGTTCAAGGACAATATCGCAAAATAATTTTAAAATGAGCATATCTTTAGAATTTCTGATACTAAGTCTCACATGCTGGGAATAAAAATGTTTTTCCTGTACAACGGTGCCATTGCTCGCTTTGAAATCGTAGAGTTTGTTAATGAAAAATTCTAAAATTTTACAAAATATGAAATTGGTAATAAAACAAATTCCAAATTTGGGCTCCTAGATGCCCATATTCGCTGGAAGATTACATTATTCAAAATTTGATGGCTCTAGGTATCGTTGTTTTATCACAATGTGAGAAACATACATACATTTATGCAGATTCTTCATTATTTAATTTTTTAAAATATAATGCAGGGTGATAATATTTGGCGGCAACAATCCGAAAAGTGAAACAACGCTTATAGTGAATAAACACAAAATGCAAAAACAAAATTAATAGTCCTTCTGGACAAATTGTGCCTTTGAACTAATAATCGTATTGTTATCATTTTCTTGTCTTTTCTAATAGCAATAAAATTACATAAACATTGTAATGTTGAAAGTATTTTTTCTACTATTAAAAAAATACTGTAATTCAATCCTTAATGACATCAGAAAAGAATTCCTGGAGAATATACAGCATTTCTTGAAGTAATATTTAATTAACATTGGTTAATGGGCCACTAGAATAGATACTATCTAACATTGCTATGGAATTTCCCACAATATAAATCATCCAACAAAAAAAAAGAAGAAAAATAATACAGTTTCCTTTATTAATGACAGTTAATTTTTCAGTTAGTCTTCTAATTTTTCTTTCTCTAAAATTATCCAAAAGATTTCAATTAGTAACTATGTTTAATTACTTTATTGTAGCATTTATTTTGTTTCTTTTTCAATAAATAATTTAATTCATACTGTTCCCTTACAGAGTTCAGATTAACAGTTTGTGTTGAAATATTTCTGCGCTTGACAAAAGTAGACTCGTACCATTTAAAAAGAATACATTTCACAATTTCTTTAATTAATACTATGACCTCTCACATCAAAACAATATATATGTAATGTACAAATAAATAGAAACCAAAAACTGGATTACTAATATATATTGCTAAATTAAATATACATCTTATTACCAGTGATTGTTAGCATATTAGTAGTAAATCCTTAACCCAAGAGACAAGGCAAAACATGCCAGAGTAAAAATTTACAATTAAGTAAAACAGCAACCTTTTGTTTGATATAGATTTTAATTAAAACTCTACCAATTTCAAAAGCAAACATATAAAGGTCCCTTTTTGTCAGAAGCAAAAAGAAATTCTGTGAAGAAGGGGGGGGGAGTTATGACCATACCTGTCCCCAAAACAAAGGTCAGAGCAAAGAGAATTAAAGTGTAGCACCATCTGTCCAGGGAAACAGTACAGCAACATGACAAATTAAGATATTAGAATTCTACAAGAATTAAGAAAGCCTGGATTGGAATTAATGTTATTAATTAAACAAGATAACTTTTTTGAATGTAAAAAGCTTCAAGGAAAAGCAGTTCATCAACATTAGAAGCTTATGGATAATTTTTGCAGACCAAAGTCAAAACTGTGATTTGCTTTCCAAGTATGATTAGTTAAGGAAGATTAGTTTATTTCTCCTTTACAGTCCTAAGATTTGTGTTTCTTAATATAAAGTTTTAATGCTCTTTTTTTTTTTCTCTCTCGCTCATATTATTTGGCCATTAAATCTCAAACCACAGTAATACAAAATGATATAAATTTCCCAGGAATTAAAGTCAGAGATGGAACTTTTAAGAAATGGACAATAGATTTTATTGATAAGTTAGAAAATTACTTGAAAGTTGAACTTCTGAGACATCTGTGTAATTTGTAACCAATAAATGGATGAAATGGAATGACAAATCAATCTTACAGTCTTTCATCTTCTGAAATAACATATGACAAAGTATCTACTAATTTCATCAAAGTAATGAAAGTAGCTGTTTCACATGCAGAACAGAATTCATTCCATTTTATTTGATGATGACAAGAATGTAAGGATAGCTTTTTCTTTTTTGTGCATATAATTAACATATTCTATACTACATGCCTTTTCAGAATGTATTTAACTCTGAAAAGATTAATGAATAAATCTTTTCAGAATTTAATCTTTTCAGAATTCCTAATATTTTTTTACAACTGCTGCACTAATAAAAATTAAGTTATTAGAAAAATTATCTTGGAAATCTTCAAAATGTACTGAAATGTTTTAACACTGGATACATTTTCTTAATTTATTTAAAAACTAAATTGCTTTGCAATTTCAAACATTCCTGCTTTGAAATATTTTATTAATTAAAATGAGACAGTACAGAGTGATTAGCCCTCAGTAATTTTCTCTTTTGCTCAATGAAATGCATATTTACTGTTCGAAATTTCTTATCTTTACCCTCCTTTGTCAAGGTTCTCCCCTTTTAAAGGTTGCTATTATTTCTTTAATTTTATTCACTTGATCTTATAGCATACTGCTAAAAAAAAGGGACAGTTCTATATCACCTGTTCTACTGGGCCGATACACAAAATTCAAATTGCAGTTTCATGTCTCGAAAGGGCGACTTAGGATATATATTAGATTTATATATAGCACTGTCCTAAAATAGGTATTTTTACACAAAATCGGACTTTTCTGAAATGACATGCCAATTTTTTCCATATTTCAATTCTACGACTGCCTAAATATTAAAGTTTTTAAAATTTGGTGCAAAATTTATGGAGAAATTAAAAAATTTACATTGGCAATTTTTTTTTCAGTTTGTGCCAAGAATTCCCTTTTTATCTGAAGCAAAAAAATTCTGAAAAGAACCATGACCATATCTGTCCTGAAAACAAAGGTCAGAAAAGGTCACTTGGAAAATGTCTTAATTTATAGCAACCTATTTTCCTTTCCTTTCTTTCATTGTAAATGAGCAGGAAAAAAGGTCATCGTTCATTATTTCAAATCATTTTAACAAAGTGCGTAAACCACATTTGGCATTATTATTGTTAATAATAAATATGCCAAATTTTAAAATGCGCCAATATATAAATTCATGTATATCCTACGAACTTCTGAATAAAAAAACTCTAATTTTTGCAGGTATACTTAGAAATACATCTTCTTTAAGATGATAGCAAAAATTTTATTGGTTATAATTCAAAATTTTTCAAAAATTTATAAAAATTATTTAAAAATACAAATTTTAAAAATAAGTCATAAAAAATGGGTGAATTTTACTTGGAATGAACCTAAATTTCAAATTCTGGTAGAAGGAATCAAGTACGTTTAATAAATCTATATAAAATTAAATTAACATTGAAAGGAGGAGCTAAAATTTTTAGAGCTAATTTTTTAAAAACCGCTCGTGCAATTTTTACAAAACTTGGCAGTTTGGCATAATTTGAGTCGCAAAATCGAAATATGCAAAAAAATTGGCATTTTTTTTCAGAAAAAGTCCAATTTTGTGTCAAAATTGTATAATTACTATATATTATTATAATATATATATTAGAATAATTAATGCTATATATAAATCTAATACATATCCTAAGTCATGCTTTTGAAGCATGTAATGTAATTTGTAAATGTAAGTTGAATTTCGTCAATCAGACCAGTAGAACGGGAGATATAGAATTGTTCCTTTTTTTTTTTACTGCGCAGTGTACATCCTTTTTGATAAACTTTTTTAAGTGCTACTTGTATACAACTGCCGATATACTAGTATTACCAAGAATGGAAAAATAACAATAATGCATAAAGTTACAATTCTGTCAAAAACAGAATTTAAATCCATGTAAAATCTGGCTTTGATATAGCTTTAATGACAACACTTATTAAATTTTTCAATACAAGGTTCATGTTGTCATTTCTGACAAAATCTCTAAATAAACTACCTTGGCATCACAAGATTTGCCTCTTTAGTGGCTAAAAGTTTTGAATAGCTGAATGATATTTGTCCTAAAACAAATTTTGAGAAAGATAAATGAATATATATTTCACAAACCTGGAAATTCCAGAGTTGCAGAAAGTAAAAAGTCATATGATAAGTTCAATTATATACAACTTTCATTTCAGAAGTTTCAGATTTAATTACTGGCTAAGACACAAATAACAGAAACTTGAGTTAATTTTGAGTTAATGATTCCAACTATATCATCTTAGCTATTATATAATTTCTTGCAAAGATTGAATAAATATTTGTAATAATTATATCAATGTCTTTGATAAAAAAAATTAAAAAAAATTATAGAAAAACTTGAGTTACATTAACAAGCAAAAAACAAGAGAAATATGCAATACAAAAATATATTTATTAATGAATAAACTGTAAAGTCAAAAATATTTTATACAGAAGTCTCACGAGTAAATTTATTTACACTGCCACCTGATGATGCAAAAGACTCAGTAAGAAGAGATTTTGTACTTTCATCAGCTTGTGCTGCCTCCTCTAACTGGCTAAGGTTTGATTTATGAATAGCACCCTTTGACTCCAAATTTTTACTTGATTGTATAATACTATAATAACAATAAAATTATAAGAATAAAGAAGTCATAAAATTCAAAACATAACATTTTTAAAGAAAGATATCATATAATAATCAATAAATAAAGCTATTTAATATTCTTTTACTAATTAAAATTAATTGGAGCTACGGAATGCTGTTTAACGTGTTCTTATTTAGTATTAGCAACTTACATCTAATTGCTTAAACATTACTTTATTTGACCTTTCTCAGTAAAATAGATACAGGATGTCTTTAATTTAATAACTTGACTTAAAAAATAATAAGAAAGAAACTTGTATAATAAGTATTAAAAAGCAGTTAACTAGGCATAATTTATTAATTCAATCGCTAAGCATTACAGAAGTGTTCATAGCATCCTCAATACAGATAATGAGAAATGGCTGTATATAAGACACTCGTAAACTCTCTATGAATAGAAACTGATATACTGAGAAGGAGTCATCTATTTGGGACAAAAACTGATTAGTGTAATGTATTTGTACAAAAAAGAAATTATCATTTTAGAAAAATTCAATGGTTAATTAAAGAGCTATCGAAAATGAGTTATCCAGTAAAACACTGGATTAATGCTCACCTCTGGCCTTAACACAAGCTTCTGCCTGGCATAGCACTGAGTTAAAAAAACTGATAGATGTGTTTTCCAGTATCTCTCGCCAAAATATCAGAGTGATTTACTCAAAATCTGGGATGGTGGGAGGTATCTCCCTATCAGCCCTCAAGTGTGCTCTATGGGGGAAAGATCTGAATACCTATATATTTAGTGTGCAAGAAAGGTATTTGGCAAGCACAAAGACTATCAGTAGAAATGCCTAACATGTCCACTCCAGCATTACCTTCTTGAAATGTAAGTCTGCAATGGTACAAATGAAATGGCGTCACAGTGAGTCAATCATAACTCACCAAAGTAAGAAAGACGATTACAGAAGAGATTTGGCTATTTAAACAAACTGCATCCTCGATTGTAACTTCTTGATGTCAACCTCTACAAAATGCAACAATAAAGGTAGAATCCCAGTGCTAGCCTAAGTGTCTTCAGACAATCCTGCAGTGATTAATGAGACTTATCAATTACATAAGATATTAATGAAGACGATTTTTCTCCAGTCTCATGGATCTTACTTTGTATGATAGAAATGAACTGGATGCTGTGACAGCTGCTCAGACAATCATTTTGTCTTCCTGGTTTATTGTAAGCCTTTCTTAAAATATTTGCATTATTTATACCCTATACAATTCTAAAATGAGGTTACAATAATAGATTATTTTTTATATCCTTTATGAAAAGCAAAATGTTCTTATGCTACTTTATACCACAAATGGGAAATCTTCTTATATATGAGAGCCATGTTTTACCCAATCAAAATTTATTCAACTATATAGCAGCAAATGAATATATCTCTCTTCTAGTTTTCCCTCCTACATATTAACAGAAAATAAATCGTAAATAAAAAGGACATAAAATAAAATGTGCCTTAATGTAACACCAAACCATATGCTGTATGAAACAAAAAAAAAGCAGATTTGTTGTTTCATTCAGTAGAAATAAATAAAAAGTTCAAACTATTGAGTATGAAATCCCCACATCTCACCTATATTAAAATGTTTGAAAATAAATTAATTTAAAAGTAAAAAAAAAACTTAACTGAAAGATAAAAGAGCTAAGAAAACCAAACTTACTCATTTTGTACAATATGAAGGAGCTCTCGAAATTGGCAATATGTAGAATACAAAAACTCCTACAATAAAAGAACATAAATTTGAAATGACTCATAAAATTAGCAAATAATTTTTTAAAAAATTTAGTCACAAATTCAAAAATCTAATAATTCTTTATCTATTGAAATAATAATTCTAATATTCTAATATTCTTTATCTAATATTCTATATATCTTTATTCTAATATTCTATATATCTAATATTCTTATCTATTCTTTATCTGTTGAAACTACATGACCATACGATCATATACAAAAATCATAAATTTTCTTTTTAATCAAAAAATAATTTTTATATCAGGCATCCAATTATCATCATATAAAAAGGAAACAGTTTTATAATTTGTGATGTATACTTAAATTCTGAGAAGTAAAGTTTGTCCAAGCAGTATATAAAATGATATTCTTATGATCAAATGCTTGTGAATTAAATAAATAAATAACTGCTTTTCAGAAAGCCAGAAATTTAAATTACTACGTCACAGTATGTTTGATGGAAATGCATGTAAGTCCATTGCAATGAACATGAAAGCTAGTGCTACAAAAACATTACTAAATTTTAAAACATGCAATTGACTGTACATTGTGACCACATGCTTTTGTTAAATGGTACGTTGAAATATCAATTAACACAATACACTTATAGCAACATTTCTCAAACTTTTTTTTTAAGTGGGGACAACTTTTATAAATTAGAATGTTCAGCAGACCGACCATCTTATTCTTGAGCCCTTCCAAAGCCATTTTTTAGTATGTATTACATTACTGATCCTTTGAACTATTATTGAATGTAATTAATTAAAATTCATTTAATTTTGTATCAATATTAAGTAATTGCATTAACATCAGAAAATTCATATTTGTTTTTTATAATTGACAGTTGTTTGAGTTTGGATAATCTTTATTTTATAAACTAAAAATTAATAAATGTAGGCACTTACATTAATGACATGGATGAGAATGTTGATCCTTGTATAAGTGTTCTGCGTTTGAATGTACATTGATGAACCAAAACATTATGAGCATCCCCACATTTTCAATAAACTTATCTGAATGGCATGGAAGACACATGATTAAGTGGGAATGGTATTATCTGCTAGAGAAGATAAGCAATTTTTCTTACACTTACTCTTGAGAATGACGAGAAAGGCTGCTGATCTAAGCAAATTTGATAGAGGATAGATTGTAATGGCTTGAAGAATCGGAACAAGTATCTCTGAAACTGATAAGTTGTTCATGATCTGCTTTTGTTAGTACTTATGCAAAGAAAGATAAAAGATGGGGAAACCTGCAGTAGAAGCCAAGGTGTTGAAAGTAAATGCATAACCAAAGAAAAGGAGGTTAGAGACTGTCCCACTTGGTACAGCAAAATTGGCACCAGGCAGTAGCTCAGCTGACAGCCCAATATAATACAGGTCCAAGTGCAAGTGTTTTGGAACACACAGTTCAGAGGACACTATTTGGATAGGGGACTGCTCAGCAGACATCCCACTCATGTGCCTCTGTTAACCAAGCATCATTATCAAATATGCCTACAGTGGAACAGGAACATCCAGACTGGACCATGGATAAGTAGAAAACAGTTGCCTTGTCAGATGAATCACGATTTCTCATTCATCTTGTTGATGGTCATGTCAGAGTATCATCTTCCAGGCGAACAGTTGTTCCCCTGCACAGCAGGCAATGCACAAGCTGGTGGTTGTGGTATTATGCTTTGGTGGACATTCTTATGCACATCTCTGGGACCCTTAATTGTGGTAGAACAGACCATGAAAAATGCAGACTATCTGAACATAACTGCGGATCAGTTGCACCCTTACATGTCATCTGTGTTCCTAGAAAAGTGTAGCTAGAAAAGGAATCTTCCAGCAGGACTATGCCCCATGTCACAAGGCTCAAATTCTGTTGGAGTGGTTCAAGGAGCATAAGGGTGAATTCCAATTAATGTCCTGGCCACCTAACTCACCTGATCTTAACCCGATAGTGCACATTTGGGATGTCATGGAGAGCAGCTCAAGAGCTCAAACACTGCCATGTTGGAATATCTCGACTTAGAGTGACCACTGCTTAGACATTGGTACAGCCTGTCTCCAGCCATCTACCAAGAACTTGTGGCATCCATGCCATAACAAATTGCAGCTCTTTTGCAGGGCAGAGGTCGTGCAATGCAATATTGAGTAGCTGATCATAATGTTCTGGCTCTTCAGCTTATACTGGTAAGCTTATGTCTAAGATCCACATATACATCAAAACCAATTTTTACTGGTAATGAGTCCAACAATACCAGATATGCAGTGAAATGATGCAGAGAATCACCTCAATCACGGTGCTTTAAAATCACTCTTCTGTTGCTAAGACTAGATGGGGAAGTAAATAAGTAGAGTAACTGGTAATAAATGACATGAAAAGGTAGGTAAAGTGATAGATGATTACGATATGCAATTTCTGAACTCTCAAATTTTCAGCTATAGTGAGGTATATGCAGTTAATTTGAATTTTATTTTCTGTCAGTTAACAAAAATCTAGGAGGAACATGTTTTTAAGGCCATTTGTAATCTATGAACCACAGATTGAGAAACGCTGCCCTATAGGGTTCCTACAAAAATGCAACTTTTGATTTCCCTAATTTTAAAAGACAAATTGTGAAGAACTAAGTATGGGTGTCCAAGCAACACCATGCATTTACAGAAAGGTAAAATAACCAGAACATTATAAAAATTTAATTAATCTAACTCATTGTTGTGCAGAGAGAAGTGAATAATAGCTCACAAAAAGTGAAGATTACAGTTATGGATTGATAAAGTGATATCAGAAAAGAATGAATAAAATACTTTCTATAAAACAAATATACTTACCAAACAAAACAAAGATTCAGAACAAAGATACAGAAAAGATACAGTTCTAAAGGTTTGCTTTTTTTTAAAGAAAGATAATTTTTGTGCATTGGTTACTATTCAAAACGTGAACTTCCTGCTAACTATTGCATAGTATTTCCTCTTAACTTTTTGGATAAAATTCTGGTTTTCCCTGACTTTTTGAGAAATGCTTATATTTTTGCTTACTTTCCGTGATTTTCCACGTGAGTGGGAATTTTGTCTTATAACAGCTAATATATTTTATTGATCACACACACACACACACACACACACACACAAAAAAAAAAAAAAAAAAAAAAAAAAAAACTAAATTATGATATATAGCCAAATGAGATACAATAAACACATTATCCTTCATGGAAGCTTCATCATACCATTTTAATTGAACATAGATAAATCAGTACTCTTCTGTTATCGTGACCAGGTTCAGAAATGTTTGTATGTGTTCATGTATATACATACATAGTATGTGTATATGTTACAGTGAAACACCGAAATCTGGAGAATATCGACTTTCACCGGTGAATGTCAACATTCACATAGTCACTTGGTGTATGTACGAAATACTTTCCAAATATTCTTATTTCTGACTTACACCGCTCAATGTTGACATTCATCATGTACTAATGGTGAATGTTGAACATATAACAATATTACATTTTCTTCTCTGTAATTCAGTCGTGAATAAACGCACTTGAGACTTGAAATAAGAACTTAGGAACATAAGAACCTAAAACACAATACATTCAAAATGAGAAAAGAAAATAATAGAAGTTAAAAACTTACTTAATTATACAGTACGTTCTAAATGAGAAAATAAAATAATAGTAATAAAAAACTTACTAAATTATGTGATTCAAATTTTTATTTATTGCAACAACTTAAACTATTATGGCACTTTATGACCTCTCTTTTCGACCTACACCAAAGCATAACTGTGATTGTCGACATACACCAGTGAGGGTCTGAATGTACAAGAATGTAATGCAATATTCGATCTTTCACCGACGTATTTGGTGAATGTTGACATTCTCAGGTGAAAGTCGACATTCTCCAATTTCGGTCTTTCACGGTAACATATACACATACATGCACATATATACATACAAATATACATGCATGCACATTTCTGAATACGGACCCGATATCAGAACAGTGATAAATCTCACATTATCACGCTATTCAGATAAAAATAAAGTTCTGATATTTTTCTTGGGTCAATGACATATGCTTTATATATACATATGTATATGCTTTATGTATACATATGTATATGCTTTATGTATACATATGTATATGCTTTATGTATATATATGTATGTATATATATATATAGAAGTATAATCAGGTCACACATGTAGCAAACTTATGATCATAATGAACAAAATGAACAAAATGTTAGGATGATTTGAATTTATGTATATTCCAGTATAATTGCACTAAAAAAAACATTTATTATATAGGTACGTCACACAAATTTTGATAATCACAGAAACATTTTCTTTTGCTTGGGTAGTCAGAAATGCCCGATCCTCCAATTAATTAAAAATGAAAAACTGACTTATTACCATCTTTCTGAGATCAATGGAAACAAATAGTTTTAATGCACTGATTATTCTTGAAAAAGAATACATTAAATATCAAAGAACTTTTAAAACAAATGTCACTTTTAAGGTTTATAAATGCAGTGATAAATGTGTGGTTTTTAAAAGTAAAAACAAATATATAATTACCTGCATATTAGTAAAAAGCAATATAATAACACATTTTCTACTATATTTCACGTATTTGTTTAAATTAAATGTTTTTATAAGTCACTAGTAATATATCCATTTTTTCGCATGGGAAGAAGCCAGAAGTATTGGAAAAGTAGTTATGAGATATTTAAAATTAGTAATAAAAAATGAAAATCATAATAAACCCAATTTTTCAATATAAGAATTAAAAAACATGAGCATATGTAGGTTGACAGATCAATATCAAAAAAATCACTTCAACATGAAATAAAAAATTTTGAAACTGAAACTGAATAAAAGGGTTTTGAGGTATAATAATCCTCTTCAGAGAATCTATGTTCCAAATTTTGTAGCTCTAGGCTTTTCCATCTTTTACCAATGTAACACATATACTTATTAGAAGACCATTCAGAATTAATTTTAAAATATGTGATTTCCAAGCAAGGTCACACAAAGATTGAAAAGGAGAAAACTTCAGAGATGCTGTGAAATCATAATGCAATATACTAGAAAGAAAATTTCAGAAAAATCAACTAGTAAAATTTGTATTGTCTTTTGTCTAAATGAGAGCAAAAGGTTGGTTTTATAAACATCAAGATGTTATAAATGCCAAAATTTAAAAGTATTAAACAGGCAACGATAAAAAAAATTAAATCTGCCTTAAACTTAATATTAACTTAAAGGAACTTTATTTTAAAGATTATTTTCTAGTTAACCTGATGCTTGAAATCATTTGCATAATGCTTGAACCATTAGATTGTATTAAATGATTATGCATGTAAAACAAATCATTTTGAAATTAAATAAAAAATAGAAAAAAATGATATGGGAAGATCTAAATTGAATTTTGGAAAAAAAAAAAAATGTCCAGAAGTAAGTCTCCCCTCTTATGCAAATACCCACAAGTTCTTTTATTATCAGATATCAGTGGTTCTCAACCTGCCCATGCACCCTTTTTTACTACAGCTAGAAGATCCCCTTTTCCTCATTCCAAAAAAGTTAATATATGTATGTATTATTTTTTAAAGTTTTTTATGAATTAAACAATAAAAAGTACAGAAAATAGTGATAAATTAGTCAAATAACTGATGATTTGCAGGAGGGTTGGGTAAATAATGCAAGAGTACTAGTTATTCTAGCAATGCATCTTTTGTGTTTAATGCGTTGACTAATTACTAAAGTTTAGTAATTAGTACAGTTTAGTAACTTTTTTTTATTGTTTTTGAAGTTTTAAGAAACTGTTCAATCACATGAATATTAATTCTAAAACCATATTCTAATAATTTACAATAATAATAAAAAAGGAATTAATATAAATTATTTCGTAATGTCCTTTATTGTAATATAACAGAGCTCGCAACCCTAGATTCAGTAGGCAACATACACATGCAGCTTATTGTAGACATTAATATGTATGTCATTGGTTGGTTTTTACTGGCTAATTTATTGACATGATGAATCTATTATTATCGAGATTATCAACTGAAAACTCCACGAAATTGTTGAAATTTTTTATAAATACTAGCATTGCAGTAGTTTATATTGATCTTTTACACACAATTTTATATCAGTCAAAGCCTCAAAATATAAAAAAAGTCAAAAGTTTTGTTTTTCCTTAAACTTTGTTCATTAAATAGTGTGCTCTTTTATTTTCTTTAATGGTATTGTGTAAAATCACTGTATAATAAATCAAGATATTGATGCTTGGAATGATTCATACAGCAATTTTATATCATCATGCATTTTAGCTCAAAATAAAATTATTATTAAAATTCTAGAAAACAGTTATAATACAACTAAATAAGAAACTTACACCTGGCTGATACCTTGCTTGCTCATACAGTAAAAGAAATGTGTTTAATGTTTCAACAGTAATAGTGGGGAATGTATCATCTTTATAAAGTCTAAAAAAATATTCCAGTACATCCTCTTGCACTTGACGAGATCTTTTATTACTTGTTGAACTAATCAATTTACCTAAATACATATATAATATTAAAATATGAGTAACATTCTACAAATAAAGCCAAAAATGGCACCAATACAAAATTTCATATTTAACTGAATTTTAAATCATATTTCCCACTGCTGCATTTCAAAAAGAGAAAATACATAAGACTAGTAGAAAAACAACTTAATAACCATTGAACTATAAATTTAAAAAGTATATGCGAAAATTTATCTATTACTCATTGACGCCATGTCATTTCTCAGAGTTTTGGCAAATTTTAATTAAACAATTACTAACCTCTAAAATCACCTACATTTAGAATGTTAGGATCTATCCATGAGAGAAAAGAAGAAAACACCTTTATGATAACATTCAGTTATCTATATACCTTTCCTTCTCTGTGTTCTAAAAAAAAAGTTATGCTACATTCTATACTTGGAAAATAAGTACACAAGTTAAGCACATCTCAAGAATCAATACAGTGTACATGAACACTGAGCCAAAGAATTCTTCCATTCAACTTCTTTAACTGAGCTGTCAAATACAGCTCTTTTCTTCGCTGATATTATAATGGGAATTTGAACTTTTTGCTTTTCAGGGAGAGGGGTAAGCAGGGAGAGGCAATGGATTCTTATGCACTTGAGGCTTATGGGCAGCATTTAATTTCTAAAATCAGAAGTGCTGGATCTTTAAGGAAGACTATTAGGAAGGTAGAAAAAAAAAATAATACATAAATTAAATAATTAAACCAAAATTAAAAGAAATATAAAGAGATAAATTGAAATTTAATAAATTATTAAATTATTTATAATTAGTTATATAAAAAACAAATTACTGGACCTAATCTTATTTAGGGCTTTGGCTCTAATTACAATTCCGCTCAAAAGCTAAGAAGAAGTTCAGCCAATCTCCATCTGAATTTAAGCCCCAGTTATACGTATAATGTGCTATTTCAAGGGATGATTGATACAAAAACTATTCTTTTTTGCAACACACCAATGAAAAAAGATGAAATAATTAACACACCATTAAGGAGTGTGAATTCTAGAAACAGTATGAGGATATGGAAGGAAGTTTTAACGAGAAATACAGCTTTGTAAATAAAATGCAAGACTACCAAGAAGTCAAGGCACAGATGCCCTGTCGATATGATCTAGCCCTCAAGTAGAAATTTTTCCTCAATATGATTCATTAACATGATAATATACATTACTCCTCTGTACTAGTGACAGTAGTTGTTTCCTGCATTCGGTCACATTGTTCAAAAGGTCTACTGAAGGTCTGCAGTAGGAATTCACTAGCATGGCATGTGCACGACCAGGGTATCACTTTCAGTATTTTCAGAAGCGAAAAATTTACTCGCTCTCATAAATTAGTGCATTTCCTGGAGGATAAGTCTTTAACATGTGAGCGGGAACTTTTCTTTCCTTAAAAGTCTCAAACTCTGTCGAAGATTTGTGTCCGAGGGAAAGACAGACTTGCATTCAGAAGTTAAATAGATTTTGTAGGCATAATTGTTATTAAAATGAAATTTGTCTGTTGAAATTGATGTTTGCTTACAGAAAAGAAGTGCCAGAGCCCTTTAATTTAGGGCTCCGGTGCACTCTGCCTAAAATTATGATTTATCTCAAAAACTGAGAAGGCTCCAGCGTAATTTAAAGCTCTGATTATGGAAGATTCATTTTTCAGGGAATTAATTTTTTTTTATCTTTATCAGGTAGTTTGTTTGAATATAAATTGTTTTCAACAGCAATTCACTATTTTAGATCTAATATATTAGGTTTTGTATGCATGATCCCGTCATCAGCGTGCGAATGAGGTACTAGTAATTGCATCAAAACTATAATAATATATTATTTATTGTTGGTTAAAACTAGTATTTACAAGCTACCAAAGTATCTTTTAAATGAGTAGTTTTGCATTCTTTAGGTTATTTGAAAGATTTATGATATTCTTTATAAATACTATTGAATCTATTTTGGAACCATATGTTTTATGGAAGAAATTAACACACTCTCACTAGACAATAGATAAAACTGATTAGTGACCACTTTTTCCCTTTTTTGAACAAAGGCACAACTTCTCATAATTTTCAACCTAACTCTCTGCATTCATTGTTGGTGAAAATTTACAGTGATAAAATTTCATACCTACTATGTTCTGCATTGAAGGCAATGTCGCTAGATCATACGATTTTTCACAAATTTGCTATTTTTGACAAATTTATACTACTAAAATATGTCTAGTGATTCTGCAAATTGTCAGCAATTCTATTAATTCCTTGTGCTACTTTTCACCACATTTAATTTTTTTAATATACTGTAAAATGCATAAATGTTAATATATCCATTAAAGTTAATTTATAATAAAAAGTAATAATTTATTTAGGCCTTAAATAAAAGTTGTCAACTGACATTCCTTTGATTGTGGCCCAACAGCATTCAGTTTTGAACACTAGTCGCTAATGTTTTCATGTGCTTTATTAATTGCTTTGTTTAATATTTTGGTGACCTGTGAGTAGGATTCCAAAGCTCAAGTCAAATTATAGCTGTGTTAACTAAAGTGTTAATTATGAAATAACATGAAAAAATTCAGCACCACCTTTTTAATTGCTAGACTAAAAATACCCATGTTTGAGAATTTTCTAAAGAGAATGAAAACAAAGAAGACAGCTTATTGCAATTTTTTCTGTATGTGTGAACTGAAGGCACATATTTAATTGACTTAATGAAGCATAGTATTTCTTTACAGCATAGCAAAGTCTCATATTTGAAAACAGAGACAGTGCTCACTGTAATTGTTCTATAATATATTTTATTTCAAATAGCACAAAAATGTGAACAATCCAAAAGTGAGAAACTATCTTAACAATATATGTGAACAAATTAACTGAAAAAATAGCAATATAAAATTAACTGTGAATGAACCAAAAGATTAAATGGAGATTCAAACAATAGAAAATTAGCGATCTAGTTTTCAGATTTTCATCAAACCTGTATATCTGTAGTAAAACATCGAACAACTGAATTATAATCCAAAACTTACGGAATCCATGAAACTGAATTGATGATGACATAACAAATTGTGTGAGCCATACACTTATGAAGGGACAAAAAAATCATGTGATCTCTAGCATCACATGCAACTTTTTTAATCTTCTCTTGCAACTTTCGCTAAAAACTTTCTGACCACACTGATGGAAGGTAAGATGAACATCACTCAAAAAATACAGTATGGATATAACTAACTCAATATCTACTGAGTATAGAACAATTTGTACCATATGGTAAAATCAAGAATCAATTATTTCTGCTCATAAAAAAAGAAAAAAAAAAAAAAAAAAAAATTAGATATCGGGGAAAAATGAGAAAAACTAAATATGAGTATGTTAAAAAATCAATGCTAAATGGTTTAGCATTCAAAGAAGCTATGATTTGCCACTATTTAGACAAATGTCTCATAAAAAGCAAATGAACTTTCCAGGCACATTAAAGACTAGCCTTTTTATATTTAAATGGCTAGCAAAATAGGTTCAAGAAGGAGAATATTTCTTCACAAAATATTATGAAAGGATCAGACAGCATTTCAAAATTAGATGTCAAGAAATGGAGTGGGTTTGGAATGATCTCCATTACTTGTACTAAGAAATGGAGTGTATCAGCGTCACTGAAGCTTGGCTGTTCTACAGGATGGTGACAACTCAAATAAAATTTAATGACCAAAAATGCGTTGTTGGAAAATTGCCAAAAATGTCAATCGTAGATTTTACACATAATGAATGCCAATCAGCATCATAGGCTTTATGTGACTGGAAAATCTCAAAAGTAAAGATGCTTAAAAATGTTTACTGTTTCCTATAAAATTAATTGTAAAGCATGGATAATGTCAAAATTGTTTGAAATAAAGTTACCCAAGTAGGATAAAGAACTTTCAGCCACAAAATGGAAGATTCCACTAAAATAATTGGCAAATGGGAATTATGGACTACCAAAGGATTATTTTGCTCCATAACATTTTTTTCAGGAAAGGATATTTTTTTTTTTTTAATGTCTTCTTCAATTGCAGCTCTCTTACTCTTGCTTTGCATTATCAGCCATTTCATTTTGTACTTTGTATTGTAAAATCAAACATTTAAAATTTTGCTAAGTTAATATATATTTACAAAACTTAATTTGCCATTGAATCAACACCATTTTTTTCCCCAGCTCTGAGACCAAGGCCATGTGACTCATGCCCAAATTAAACCATACTCGTGAACTCTGATCACTGATCTAATTGATCATTGTGCTAGTAGGCTGCAGACCTAATGCATAGATGGACATGTCTAATTACACCTTTTCCTGCATAATGCAGTATCTCAGGAAGTGTCCTCACATTGTATGATGTTCATAATTCTGAATATGAAGTTGTGTATCCTTTCCATAACGAAAAGTCATCAATTTGAGAGACCCAACTTCCACTTCCTTTTCTGCTATCTACTGGTATTTATATACAGAGAATGGTAATAGCACTGTTTGAGGTTCATTATCTTACAGTTTAGGCATGACCTTGAAGGTCTGCAGCACTTGAAGACTGAACTAAAGTTTGCAGCACAGAAACTAAATACTACATTTCAGAATCGAAAATGCATTCGTGGTTTTGAAATCAAGAAAGAAAAGACAGCTTTTAATGTACAAATTTTATTTTTTATATTTGAATCAAAATTGAAAAGGTAAACAAAAAATATGTAAAATTATACAAATTTTCAAATTTTATTTAAAATATGATAAATTATAAATAACTTACATAATTCCCGCACATCATCTACAGCTTTCATTCTATAAATATGTGGAGGGGATACTAAAAAAAAGATATTTAGCTAAGAATATTACTTAAAATATTAGACTAATGCTGTTACATTCATAAAATATATAACATCATATTGTACATGGTCAAAATGCACGATTCTGTTAAAGAACATAAAATCATTTATTCAATAAATCATAATCAAGCAATAATTTGTAAAAATGAGTTTTAGTGATCACTTCAAATAAAAACAACATATTGATAATTTTAACTGAATATTAAGTATTTCATGAAATATGCAATTTAATAAAAGATTTAAAAGCAATAACATAAGCATTAAAGAAACATACAGTAAGCAACAAGATCTGGATCTTCAAACTGTTCACGAATTGATTGTTTTAGAAGCCACGGTTCACATCTGATTTTATCAATTACATCCAGCCTTCTTTCAATTTCTAGGGATAAACGCTATATGAAAGAAACAGTCACATTATTAAGAAATTCATTGTTTCACTTAAAATTATAAAATGTAGTTTGTTAACTATTACTTTATTTATGAAAGCTCGATCATACTACAGATTTTTATAAAGGGTTATTCACAAGTCTGAGAAACATTTAAAAATTTTATAACTCATAAATTACATATCAATTTTTTTACATTAAAACAGAGGTAAAGTCAGCAAATTGTTTTACATATTTCACAAATGCTCAACATGTTCATCTTTGCAGGTAAAAGAAACATCTAAATGTCACTGGGAGGATTTACTTACATATACTGGGAAGTTTTTGAATGCCACAACTGAATGAAAACAGTGGTAGTTAACCAAAACACTGTCATTTGAAAAAATATCTCGGTTATAATTTGCAACAAACTATATGCTAGAATAATTTCCTAGAATATCTCAATTAAATTTCCCACTAGCAAGAAGGAACTTCCAAACCTGAACTCTCAATTTTTCTAAAAAAAATTATACATGTGAATCTACCTATAAAAAAATACATAACTATAAAAGGATTACTGCTAATATTCTACACAAAATCTCCAACACATTGATAAGTATGAGATTTTTGTTTGCTAATGATGAACGTTCTGTGTGTGTGTGATTATGGCAAAGCCTCGGGAGCTATCTGCCTAAGGGAAGGAATGCCTTTGTGGAGGACTTTCTAAGGGAAACTCGCTCGTATACACGTTACGCATGGGGAAAACCACGAAAATGCCCATGATAAATGTTCTAATGAAGTTTAAAAATTTTCCAAAATCTCCGAAACACCAATTACTACTACACTGCCAAATACAGTTAGATTTACATATTTTCAACTTCATTTTCATACTGATTCAGCAGTCACTTTAACTTATTTACCATATGCTTCTAAGTGAGAAAAAGCATTTGTAGCTATTGTGTATTGCTTTATTTCTAACAATTTCAATGTTTTATAGAAAATGCTTTTTATGTTTTTCAGTAAATTTGATGCATTTTTAGAAGCAATGAGCAAAAAAATTTAGGGTTGGCAAAATTTTTAGAATTTAGGACCTACAGAGATTATACCAGGTAGCGAAATGACCTGTGCTACTGTGAAAAAGATATAGTTTCAGTTGTGTTCTAATTGAAAGTGCTCAAAGTTTTCAATTATTTCTTGTGAGTTTATATTTTAATTCTGTTCAGATGAAGTCTTTTCATTAAAGTTTTATAATTTCACTTACGTTTTAAATTCTTTGGATAAATAATGTTCTCTTTGTTTAAAGATAAAATTGTGATTTGAATTTTTTACTAAAGTATTTTATTACTTCACTTACATTTTCAATTCTTTGAACAGAGTTAGTTCTCTTTATTTAAGGTAAAAAATTTTGATCAGAATTTACTTTGTTTTCTTCGGTACTGTTCGGTTTTGAGGACCGTAAAAAATCGCACACTATTGTTGATGTCAGTGCTGCCAAAAATAATTGTTGATGCCAGTGCTGCCAAAATAACTATCTAAGATTGATGTTTTAATTTAGATGAAAAGTTAATTGCATATAATACTTTTTTATTATTATAATTTATATAAAAAAGGGTAAACATGACTGAATGGAAGCATAAGAGTAAATAACTCTTTCAGATCATTATTATAACTTATATAAAAATTGTTAAGCATAACTGAATGGATGCCTGCATCACAATTTCACTACCAAGTTATCACTAAAGTATAATTTCATCTCGTTAGTTGTTCAAACATAATTTTCTATAATGAATGACGCCTTTTCTATGAAAAAATTCTCGGTAAAGTGCAGAATCGCCCATTTATTTGTTTGCCGCTTTTTACAAGAATAAAAACAATTGGATTTTTGTCAATTTTCTTTTACTTTTGAAGTGAAAATAGATCGATGTGTACATAGATAAAGTCAAGGGTGTGCGCAGTGCCATTTTTGTGCAATTCTGGGATTTTTTTTTTTTAGTGAAAATAGGTCGATGTGTACATGGATACCGAGTATGTGCAATCCTTAAAAATGCGTCAAGCATGATTTAAATGTGTGAGCATTTAAAGGAGTAATGATTTTCCCCGATCATGCAAATAAAAAAGCATGGATGACATAAGCGTTAATGAATGATTGGTTTGAAAATCATTTTATACCTGAGGCTTGGCAACATTTGAATTCAGTCGGTTTACCTGATGACTCAAAATTAGTCCTGATTGTAGACAACTGTTCGACTCATACTTCTTAGTTTTAGTTTAAAGATAATGTATTCGTATTATTCTTCCCTCCAAATTGTCTGTCATTCAGCCTATGGATATCGGAATAGTGTGTGCGCTGAAATGCAAATACAAAGTAGCTTTTTTAAACTCCATGTTAAATTTCTTGAACAATGGCAAGACTATTTTTGAAATATTTTAGCATAAAATCTGCTGTGTGGAGCATCACAAGATCATGGAAGGATGTGTCTCCAGATACATTAAAAAGTGCTTGGCATAATTTATGGCCAGCTGCTGTATTTCATGGTGAGGACGATGAAGATGATAGCCGCGAATTTGAAAGTTTTCGGATATCTCAAACTAAAGGTGAAGTTCTCCAGTTAATGGATTTTGTAAAGAAATGTGGAGAAGCGTTAATAAATGAAGATGATATAACAGAAGTCTTTCAATATGATAACAATGCCCTAATCATCAATCAATTAACGGACGGTGAAATCTGTAGTACGGTTCTAGATCCAGAAAATACCGCTACCGATAGTGAAGAAGTGACAGTGAGGTTATTGAAAACAAAAAAATTTCGATTGACACGTTAGTCGGTATTCTCGACAGCAATTACAGGAGTTGAACAGGGGAACTTTGTAACTGAACAAGAAATTATGTCTGTTTATAGAATTAAGGAGAAAGCATTAGTACAAAAGACAAAGCAACTTAAACAACTGTAACAAATAAATACTGAAAGAAATGTAACAAATAAATATTGAAAGAAATGTAACAATTAAAGTAAACAAATAAATATTAATCTTTTTTTTTTCTTGCAAATTTTGATACAGTTTAGATCATAATTGCTCTTTATTTCATATTTTTAATTGTATAATTTCTGCATGCTCTTTTACCAAATTTAAATTGATGATCTATTATCTGGAAAAATCCCAAATCCGGAAACGCCAAAGTCCCAATGAGTCCAGATTTCGAACTTTGTATTGTATTATATTAGCAGCAATTCACATAACTGGGTTAAGTCTACTACAACAATTAGTACATCACAAAACTTCTTTGCAGATACTTTTGACTTGTCAACCACAAAATTGCAAACCTATTTCAATTCATTATTAACAGACATTACAATAAATATAGTAGAAAGTCTGATATCTGGACTCTTTGGGATTTTGGAGATTCCAGATTTGGGACTTTTCCGGATATTAGATTCATCAAATTTAAATCTAGTTAAAATAATATGTAGAAATCATAAAATTAAAAATATGAAAAAGTGGTTTATGAAATCACGAAGCATTTAGAACATTAAGGGAAGCAAATTTACAAAAAAAAAAAAAAAAAAAAAGCTTAGTATTTATTTGTTTACTTTATTAAGCATTTCTTTTAATGTATGTTATTTAAACTGCTTTGTTTGCTAAAAAATTATCAATTGAAATTTTTTCATTCTTGACAAGTGTCACTTTCTTCAACTATGAGTAACGTTTTCAGGATTTAGAACAATAATATAGATTTCGCATTCCATTAGTTGACTAATGATTGGGGCATTATCATTGTAATGAAAAACTTGTTATATCTATTCAGCTTTTGTTTGTCATATCTGAAAAACCATCAAATTGGCATCTCTCATCATAGAGCTGAACTAGTCACTAGATTCACTATACAGTAATAACAATGGATCATGAAATTGCCAACTAAAGACATGTTGTTCCCCTAAATTTTGTTTTGCTTCTATTGTATGCTGACAAAAATAAGCCTGAATTATACTCAGATTAGTTATTTATTATACTTATGCCTTTCTTCCTGCACATGTTTAAGGCTTATCCGAGTTCTGGATAAATAATTACATATACCCAAAGCCTAGGGCAGTACTAGACCAGTGCAGTTTTTGCAGGTCATAAATTCTGCTACCAAGTGCCTCCCTGAATTCTAAAAATGGTGCATCTTAGTGCATTCACTAAATTCCAAAGATCTTGTCATCCCTTAATTTTATTACTCAGAGCTTCTCCAAATTCTAAAAATTCTGCCTTCCTTAAATTCTACCAGCTGGTGTAGACACATCAGTTCAAGTGACAAGCCTGGGCTTATTTGAATAACAAAACAGTTATTTTCTTTTCAAACAGCACTAAATGTAATTATTTGGCCCCCACATATCATTTAAAAAAGCTATTTTTTACATATAAAAAGAAATCTCCATAAAATTCTTCTCATCAACATACTCAATACTTCACAGTGCAGTTAGCTTAAATCTGTAATCATCGTAAAGCTTAACTTACACATAAAAGGTTATCATGCTCTTTGGTATTAAAAAAAAATTAGACATCGTGAGTCATTTCTCAATCTGCCGTGTGTTGATAGTTATATGGCGATAAAAGCAAAGAATAACGAATAATGATTTACCAGGTTTTTTTCAGGGAATAAATTATTCATTATGTGTAAAATCAATGCTGTTTCGATGTAAAATATTCACTTTGAAATGTACGTCAAGCAAAAAGGAACTACGGGATTCAACTATTGATCACACAGACTTATGCTAATAAATGATTTTTTTCTTCAATATGCCGGTATGTTATTTAGTGCTGAAGTGAAATTAAGAATCATGACTCCCCACATGTGTTATTATGAAAAATTATCAAATGCACATGCATAAAGCATACAAAAGAAATTTGTATAGCCCCAGAGGCCCAGATTTTAGATCATTCCTAATACTGAATATCCGAATTTTGGCCTTTGTACCACCCACCAGTGGCTGTGCAGTAAAGTTGCTGAGCACTGATAGTTTGGTACAAGGTTCAAATCCCACAAAGAGGCTGGCTGCATGGGCATTTTCATGGTTTTAACCATGTGTAACATGTATACAAGCCAGTTTCCCTTAGAAAGTCCTCCACGAAGGCATTTCTCCTTTTAGGCAGATAGCCCTCGAGTGCTTTGCCATAATCAAATAAACACCAAACCAAACTTTGGCCTTTGTACCATATACAATTCTGGAAACTGATATAAAAAATTTACCTTTGGAGCATCAACACCAACCATAACATGAGGACCACATCTAGATTTCAAAGCAAATCTTGTAATTTGTCTTTTAGCAAATATGAATAACAGTATGAAGGTCTGTTTAGGAAAAAATAACAAATAACATAGATATTTTTCAGGAAGATAATTAACTAAACAATATAACAACAAATGCATGCAAATTCTAAAATATATATATATATATATTAAATAAATAACTCAAAACTATTTTAATGGTTGGGCGGTTAATTACAAAGTATGAAAACTTTATTTTCTATACTTGATACTTATATCATTCTCTGAAAATTTATATGATATACCTTGATTCTGCTTGCTGTACTGGATTACTCAATCTATGGACAACTAAATTCACTGTTTTTATTTCAATTACCAAAGTTTCAGGAATTTCACAGCATTGAAGAGTTATTGCCTACTCTTTTACCCCTGACAACATAACCTCTACCTTCTCAGTCAATCCAGCAAGCTTTTTATTTTGCTGGATTTATATTAATTCAGTATCTTATTATTTAGTCTATAGTATCCCTTTCACTTTTGTCAAGCCCTACCACAGGGATGTCAAACTCATAGGTACACTTTGGCCAAACAAACAAGGTTTAACTTTAGACGGGCCGCAAAAAAAAAAAAAAAAAAAAAAAAAAAAAATCAATATTCATAGAAACGTAGATTTATTTCGAATAATACAATAATAAACATATATATATATTTATATAGAAAAGAACAAGAAAATTTAATGTTTACGTCCTGATACTTGACATCTCTTCTCTGCTATTATCTTTCCTATTTCGGAAGAAATTTTGTTTGCAGTGATAACTTTCAACGCTGACCCAAGGTGAGCATCATTAATACGGTTTCTAATAGGAGACTTATTACCTTTCATGACTGAAAATAACTGCTCTCACCGATAAGTGCTACCAAACATGGAAATAATTTCATATGCGAATTTTCGAGTATTTTCAAACCTGGCTGGTAAATATTTGTAAAATTCAGGCACGCACACTTCAATGAATTTTGCTTTCAAATTTGAGTTGCATTGAATCTCGATCACCTCCATTTGCATATGGCTGGGTACTGAGTCAATACTTATTGAGAAATCGAAGAAAAAACAAAAAAAAAAAAAAAAAAAAAAAAAAAAATTGTCTTCGAAGGAACTAAAATTATTAAACCTCGTTTCAAATTCAGTTGTTAAATTTGCAATTTTTTCTGCATATTTTTGATACGAACAAGTATCATCTAAACTTGATTTGTTCATGCTGCACGTCGGGAAGTGCGTCAAATCTTCATTTTTAAGTTGTTTTTCCCAAAGAACTAGTTGACATTTGAATGCTTTAATTATGTCAAACATGTTCGTAATGATATGATCTTTTCCTTGTAACAATAAATTTAAATCGGTTAAGTGTTTGGTTATATAAACCAAGAAAGATAAATCTTGTATCCATATTGGATCATAAAACAAACTTACATCTTAATTTTTCATTTTTAAAAACTGACATACATCTTCTTTCAAATCTCAGAATTGTTTGAGAATCTTGGAGCAAGATAACCAACGTACCTCGGTATAGTAGGACAAACCCGAATATTCACTATCTAACTCACTTAAGAAAGCAGTGAATTGACGCTGATTTAAACCTCGAGATCTTATAAAATTTATAACTTTTTTTATATATGACAAAACATTCTCCATATTTATTACTTTTGTGCATAGAACTTCTTGATGTATAATACAATGCATATGATGAATGTTTGAACCGTGAATTTCACTAAGTTTTTTTCTTAGTAATGCTACAAAGCCCTTGTTTTTCCCGGTCATTGATGGAGCGCCATCTGTAGCTACAGAATTTAATTTTGCCAAAGGTAGATTGTATTTCTGCAGAAGTTCAAAAACACAAGTAATATAATCTTCTCCTGTGGTAGTACCAGGCATCGGTATTAGTTCCAGTAATTCCTCAAAAATGTTTAAAATTCTTGTCACAAGAACGAAGAAACACTGCTAATTGAGCTTTGCCACTAATGTCCGTGCTCTCGTCACAGGCAATGGAGAAACTTTCGAAACTAGATGATTTTGCTTTGATCTGATCACTTAAATTTGCGGCTAAATCAGTAACTCTTTCCGCAACTGTGTTTCGAGACAATGAAATGGATTGAAAAGCCTTCACATTTCCAGGACAAACAATTTCTTCAGCTTTCATTAGGCATTCCTTGATGAAATCACCTTCAGTAAAAGGCTTCGAATGTTTATTTATCAACTCGGACAAGATGTAGCTTGCATGTACCGCCGCTTCACTTTCTTGCAATACTTTACTAAACATGGACTGTTGCTTTTTCACTCCTAACTTGAGCTCTTTCAACTTTTCTTCTCTCATTAATCCTTCGTAATTGTTATATTTCGATTTGTGTTGTTCGTAATGACGTTTAATATTATATAACATTGATACATTAATAGTATTATTACATATCAAGCGGATTATTTTATCTTTTATTTCACAGCAAAAATATTCTAATTCCCATTTTACTTGGAATATTCTATGTTCGTCAGCGATTTTTCGTTTCATTTTACTACCACTTGGTTTTGATATAGACATACTGAATACAAAGGGCTGGAATAAACACGGTTAACGTTAACAAGTTAACAAAAATTCATTCTTTCCACAAAAGATAAATCAAAATGCTGAAATATTTCTTCAAAAATATTCTAACAATATCACAAAATGTTAAACGTTTAGCAAAAATCAATTCAAAACAGAGAAACTAATTCTATCTCACAGCGAAATCGCTACAAATCAATCACAGCATTTAAGTAAACAAACAGTTCGCTAGAACTACAGCTACTACTGAGATGAGTTGTTTATTCTCGGCTTTTATAGGCTTTATAATTAATTTCTCGAATATACTGGAAACATCTATAAATATCTGGATTTTTGTGGATGGCAACAGCAATTACGAGATATTTATTGATTAGGTATTAAATGCACGCGCTTTTCTATTTTAACCTTCGGACGCAGCTGTCTTTTCAAAAATCGTCTGCGTTGCTAAGGCAACATGAAGCAAATCTAATTACAATTCTAAATAAAAAAAAACCCAACTAAATAAATAACTGTGAAATCCGTAACAATATGAATTAAGTAATAATTAATAATAAAGCAAAGTACATGCACATGCATGCACCAATATATCATACAAAACTATGATTGGAAAACTGAGACCATGAGTTCGGCCACATTCGGCTATCAGGGAATGCGTACAAGTTCTGAGTGCACGTGCCCCCCAAAAGCCGAAGGTAGCTGAAAGCAAGCTATTCACACGCATTTGTAATTTAAGTAGTGTGTGTGTCAGCTCGCTGTGAGTAATCTAACAACACTGAATAAATTATCGTTAAGTACTTAGCAGTAAACATTTCATTTTTTTCTTTGTCGATATGTTATTTTATTATTATATTTGCCGATATATTGGCCAGGCCGCAAAAATATTTGTTGTGGGCCACGAGTTTGACATCCTTGCCCTACCAGGATAAAAATTAATATATATATATGCAGAGAATTCTTGATTTTGACATAAAACCTTTTGCACAGATTTCTGTTTAAAAACCCCTCCCTGTAACTGAAACGATTTACTGGCTCCTCCTTCATCACATTATTCTCACTGCCTATTATGCAGTTATGAATAATTCAGTTTAATACTTCATTGTCACCACTTCTAAACTTTCAACTATACTTATGTGACTACTGTTTTTTCAATTTTTGAAGGTGAACTTATATTATGTACATTACCCTTATTCATTTGGGATTTGTACTTATCCTATTATTCTTACTTTTAGTATTATTTTAGATTTAGTGTACCGTTACTTTGGTAGAACTTTGTTACGGTATATGATTTGATACTCGTGATATTAGGGGGAAATTATGCTATATAAATAATTGCTATTTTGCTTTATGGCATTTTGTTGTACAAAACATTCAAAACACCCTACTTTTGCAAACCGGGAGAAACTTGTATAATTTGTTGGCATTTTCTGATTATCCGCACTCTCACGAAAAATCACCAATTAGTGATGGCATTGTTACATGCAATTTTTTAAAGGCAATTAAATGTCTTCATGTTTCAAATGAAAAGGAAATAAAACTATATACAAGCAGATATACATATAAAATTATATATTAGAATTCATACAAAAAAGGGGGTGGGAGTAGCATATCTGTAGACAGACATTCCGTATCAGAAAGAGGAAATTAATTAAACTATGTGCTTGGAAACGGAAGTTAAAATACTTTGGAAGAATTAAACAAAACGTTTTATGATATATTAATGACAACAAAAATCAAAAAGAAAAATTCATCAAAAGAACAAACACGTTCATACATTTGCATACGTATGCAATATATTAAGGATAAACATATTAAACGAATACATACCAAACTCCCAAATGCAATAAACAGAATTACAGCTATCCCAGATAATTGATTAGCCATCAACTGACATGGAAAAAACTACGATAAGCACATAAAGCATTATTCCGATGATTTGACATGTTTCAGGGAAATTAAAGGCATTAACTTTATCATCAGGAACTTTCAGCTAAATACTTTACACATGAAGTAAATAATAACTAATCATGGAGACCTAATTCAAAAAGTAAACAATTTTTAAAAGAAAGAAGTACATAACAAAACTCTGCTAAAATTTTCTTAGTAATGCGCTAAGCATAGGTCTTTCAGCCTTCTGTAATACAGTTAAAGGAAAATGAGAAAAATGTAGGTACCAAATATCATTTCAAATTCGGGTAAGGCTCCTCTAGGTATATAGGAGCTAGGTCGCCGCCCAACCTAGCTCCTATATACCTAGCTCCTATATTGGTTAGTGTTTCTGACTGCCGCGCCGAAGGGTCCGGGTTCGAATCCCGGAGCAGGCATGGATGTTTGTAAATGTTTAATAAAAAGTTGTAAAAACGTTTGTTGTTAATTTCAATATTAACGCTCACGGATTGGAGGAAACGGCGTTCCTTCTTTCTTAAAAAGCAAGATTGATACAGATACAGATTCGGGTCACACTCAACTTAAAATTTACATTGATATCATTAGAACCTACACAGTCGGTCAGAACTCTGTACATGCAGTAATTGAATGGTGTAATTATTTGGTGCATCGATCCCAATCTGTTTCGAAAATAAATGTAAAATTTCTAATTATTTATAGGTCCTATTGATTTAAGTTAATATACTAAATTTCAAAATTAGTTCCCTACTATGACAGTTCACTAGCATAACACTTGACAGGATCCGAAGTTTGTGATTAATTCTACTTTCATGGCTTTAGTGTATAAAATTCTGGGCCTAGTCTGGATACCATCGAGACGGAAGAAGAGTCGTTTTTTGCGATCAACTCGACAGAGAGCGAATCTCGTGTTATCGTTTCGAGGTAAGGCTGAATCACCAACTTTTCTCTCTTGGCGAGGGAGTGAACGCGCTGCCAATTTTGGCGCGTTTATCGCACACGCTGGCTGAATGTCTGCTGTTTTTTTAAAGATTTATTTTATAGACGCGCGGCATTCAGCATATAAACTTTTCGGATAATTTATTAATTCTCGAATAGTATATAGACGTTTTAACTTAAATAAAAATTTCGCGTATATTTTGTAAACATATTCAAAATAACTTATTCTTTAGATGTTTCAGTTTCGTTAGCAGACTATAATAAATAAGATATGAATAAAAACTTTCAATAGTGTCAAATGGGGAAATAGTTAAAGCGTAGAGTGTGCAAATAAATTTATCTTAATGACATTTTAACAAAAATTTCCATAAAAACACTGTAAATTCATACTAAAAAAATAACTTAAGAATATGTTGTCATTTAAGTCTGAGGTATATGGAAATAATTGTGCAAGATTCTGAAGAAACACTTTCTTTTAAATGTGTGAAATATTTCATAACATATATGGAAGAAGAAAGTACAGCATTCTGTGTTTTGGATGCTTTTTTTTCATCAAATGTAATATAAATACGAACTAGAAACCGTAATAAAAAGTCCTTCCTCTTCAATCAGATCACCTTTGTGTTGCATTGTATTTGTAATACTTCTAAAAATCCAATTTTTACCTAAATTAAAAAAAAAACAGTTATTCCATAAAAGATAATAACTTTGAACGTATATAGAATGAATTTTGTAATTTGAGTTATGTTACAAAATAATTCATAGTTTATATATTTTATACTAATAATTTAGATAAAACCTGTCCAATTTAAGAATGTGTGTTAACCACATTCTTAAATTGTAAAAGGACGACTTAACCACATGTAATTCATTTCAAAGCATAAAAGAAAGCTTATTTTTTATTTTACACAGCAACAGCATTTTCATGCAGTCAAGTTTTTTTAACTGCTAGTTATTATACATAATACTTAATTTTAAACCCATTCTTATTAGAAAGCATAACTAAGAAACTTCTTTTTAAAGCACCACAGTGATTGCAAAGAATGTCGTTAAATTTACAAAAGTATTGAAGATATATTGAACAGCATTATAACAAGAAAGTACTGTACAAAATATGTAAATTTAGCATAACTTCTTCTTTTTTAGTATTTGCATAGTTTCCTCCAAATGAACCTTAATGGGAAGTTATCTTGCGAAAATTTAAAAGTATTAAAATGGCCTCTATTTAAGATGTAACTGCATTTATAATTATTTTGTAATTGCGAATAGATTATATTATTGCAATTAGATTATGCACTTACAACATAATTGCATAAAGTAATGAAATTAAGAGTTCACAGATACAATGTAATATAATTACAATGCAATTACCTAAATTGTAATTATAATCACTTATTTAATACCACAATATTATTACAATCACAATGTAATTTAAATTGGGTACTATATTTGCATACCCTCCACTCAAAAGGAGGTACTGATAAGCCTGGAAGTTATTATCAACAAAAAGCCTGTTCAGGACAGTTTGATGACAATTTCCACCGGGCGAAAAGTACATTCTTAAGCCCAGGCAAATCATGACAATAAAAATCATTTAGTCTTATGATTCACTATATTTTAAACCCTAAATTTGAATTTGAATTCTGCACCAAATTATTTACCTATATTTTAACATACTTTATGAATTATTAGAAGCGATATGGCAAATATCTTCTAAAAATAACTGTAAAATATTTGTATCCATTAATTGATTCAGATACACACTTTTATTATTTAAGTATATCAAAATAACAGTTTCATGTTCCTGAAATACAAAAATTATGGAAAAAGTTAAAGTAATATTCTTAGAAGCATATGATATTAGTCACCAGATGCAAAATTATAGTTAATTTTTTGCCCTAAATACAATTTTATTACACAGTAGTCAAATGTGTAACTTAATAACATGTTATATAAAAAATTAATGATAATAAGTTTATCAGAAATGAATTAATTCTGCAAATAAACTTTCTGCACTTGAAAATTTTCTACACCTGAGGGGAGGGAGAGATCTAGTAAAATTAGATTTATTATAACTTCAGTTGGACCAAACACCTTCTCTCTCTATATATGCATCACTAAAGAAATAAATAAAATTATCATGCTTAAAAAACAGATATACCATACCAGTTTTTTTTCCCCTTGTTACCCTTTACATTGAGAAATAACAAACACTGAAAAATACTATCCTTGAAATTTTGTTTAAATGAAGAAACACACACCATCTTTTTATTTAAGCATTACACTTCAAAAACAGATACACATACCAATTTATTTTCACTAGCCTTTATACTGATAACATGCCATATAAAAATGAAAAGAATTATCCTTGAAATTTAGATAAAATGAAGTAACACAATGGGAAAATTTATGCACACGGACATCTTTTTTTCTATTGCATGTTGTCTGACATGATCCACAAGTGCCTAAAAATGTACCCAAAGAAACGCATTTCAATATTAACAAAAAATTGTTTACAGATTAAAATTCATTCATTTCATACCAGTATTATAAAGATCATGCATGAAACAAATCTGCTTTCCCATACTTTTAAGTAAAACTTTTATACTGGAAAATAGACTATATTTCTATATATTAGAAACAAGAAAATACTAATTTGAATGTTCTGCATTCATTTCTAAATCTTTACTCCATTGCCAAATTGTATAATACTGTGATTATAAATAAACTTGCACAATCCTTGCAATTATTGAAGTCAGATTATATATATTTTGTCTCACACTATTCAATTTATTCTATTGACTTCAGATGTCAATGTCAAAATTCTGGAAGTTATTTTAACCAAGAAACAGTAGTGGGCACCGTGCATAAACAACTCATCTAACTTTTTAACAATAGTGATTATAAAATAAAGAAAAAAATTATATATCATTCCAACGATATTGCAACTATAGTATAATGTTACATATATCTTTAGCAAACATTCAGATTTTATCTTGACTTTCCAAATTATTATTTATTTTTTAATAAATTTCAATATGCTAATGATTTTCATGTTACATTAGTATAAATTCCACAATTAGCACAGGAAAACAAAATCCGCGCTTTATATTAGAAGAGAAATTTCTTTTCCACATTCAAAACATCTACATTGGCGATGTTTGGCGACGGGTACATTAACCCTAGACTAATTTAATTATAGCTATTATTACAGAAATTAGCAGATACTCAGGTTATTGTACACAAGAATTTCACTTTACTTGCACATTATAAACATCAGAGAAGATATAAACTCTAAATGAAGGCGTAATTAACATTATACTTACTAAGCAAAGTTCAGCGCCTGGACCAGGTTTCCAATTGTCTCTTCGGCAATTATTTACCCATATTTTTCTTCTTTCTTCATTTTTAGGAAATTTTACCAATGTATGACCTTTTCGTGAATGATTTGAACAATTAATAGCTGTACATCCGCCCATTTTACACAAAAAAAAAACACAAAAAATTGTTGCACCGTAACTACACAGCCGCCATTAAATCTCCCACTTGGGAGCGCGAATGCCTGATGATTCAGCCTGGTGTATAGGAGCCTTATTTCGAGGATTTCTGAATAGACGCTTCGACAACTTTTCCGTCAGCTGTGTAGCTGGCATATTCACAAAGTATAGACCATCTCTGCTACGGTCTGCTCTCATTGGATGAAACATCTGCTTGACGGTGAGTTTGGAATGGTGAGTTATCGCCCTGTATGCGTGGTAATTAACGTCAAACAAATCTTGTGGGCTTTCAGTAAAGCGGGGAGAAACAGAAACAGCCAAACAAACGGAAACAGCGTTTATTTCATTCGATATTTTTTTATTTTATGAATGGAAGCTAAGGTGAATTGTGTGGAATATATTTTAAATGACCTACTTATCTTATTAATAGTTTATTTGTATTAGAATTTAAACTATTAAAAATACGATAATTGTTTTTCAAGTGTTTACATGTTTTATTCTCGCGAAAAAAACAGCTTCCTTTTGATCGTTTTAAACAGCCAACAGCCAGCTGAGATGTCCTGTAGAGCAGGATTGAATATTTGTTAATTCTGTTCCTAGGACAGACTTGCTAGTTCTCGTCATTTTACATCATTTGTTAAATGAGCTGTGTAGGGAAGTATACAGTTGTATGTTACAAAACCTTATTCATCTGTTTAGATAAAACATATTCCATGACTATAGGTTCAGTTCAAATAGCATGTTAAAAGAACTGAAGGCTTAAAAAAAAAAGGAGCAGTTAAATTTATGTGCAGATTGA